TGAATGTGGTATAGATATATTAATTATATTATTAAAATAATACTTATAATTTATTTAATGATGAATGTTTAAGAAAAAAGAAATGTTATTATAAAAAATATGAATAAAATAATTAATCTATAAAATAAAAATAAAAGAATTCAAATAATGTAAATTATAAAATGAACTAAACAAAAAAAAACATGGGAAATATTTGGTGTTTCAAATAAGTGGTTTATTTGAAATTTACAAAAGATCCAGTGATGAGTTTATTCTGAACCTCCACAGATTTGCGCTCGCCTAAAATAATATCATAAATAATTTTCAGGATTTTGAAGAGTAAATAGCGATCAACAATAATACAAAAATATTAATTTTGTAAAGAAAATAAATAAATTTTATATTAACAAAATAGATATTAACTGGCATAGGAACTTTTAATAAGTATAAAACTTATTTATTTTAATTCACAATCTTTAAAGACTTATAATAAATTTACTAATCAGTTTAAAATAAAAGCGTAAAGATCTTGATAAGAAAGTGAGAATAAACATTAGATGAACTTAAAAGCTAGGTATAAGAGTAATTAAAAATCTTACTCTTTATGCCATGACCTAATTATTAAGAGAATGATTTTATTAAATAAATGGTGTGTGAAGTATACTGAAGAAAAGTTGCTAAAAGGAAATGCAGGAAATGCAGCATTCAAACAAGCTGTGAAATTCGGTGAACGGGTTTGAATATCCTTAAGAACGTTAAAATATAAGAAATAAGAATTTGGCTACTTAATTGGATTGGAAGACTAATATAATTATTGGATTTGAAATAAGATTAAAAAATAATCCTTAGTTTCAGAGTATGATGATTTATTCTTAATAACTTTCAAATAAATATAAGATTGTAAGAAATTCATTTGAAAAATTCTACATTATAGCTTCAATAAAGAAATAAAATTATATTGATATATAATCCAATTTCATGTTTAAAAATACAAGATAAATATTTTTAATGATGAATTATGAATCTGATAACTATGAAAAACTCAAAAATATGGATAGGATAGGATAATTTTGGATCATAGTTATGTTTTATTTTGTCTTCATCAAAACATGAATTCTTTTTAAGATTATGATTTATTTTTATGCATAATTCTCCTATGTATATTACGGTTATTTTGTCTAACCAGATATGCCATCTGGTTAAATACATTTAATAATTAGATGTATTTAAAAAAGAAATATATATTATTTTATATAAGTAATACTCCAATGCAGTAATAATAATAACATTTAAGATCATCTGAAATTAGAAGGCAATCTTCAACTTAATCAAATAGTGCAATGGATGAACCATTCCTAAAATTTTTGGCTGAAAGTAATTATTTGGAAAGTGAATAATCGTCCCAAGAAAAACATTAAAAATTAACCAAATGCAAAACTGAACATTCTCTTCAACCAATCTAGTACATCAATTCAAATTCATTTACTGTTAGCGATAAGAAGGTATTCTTAAAAATAAAAAAAATAGTTTTCATTTCCAGCAAATGAAATACTTGAATGGGAAACCTTATAAATAACCTTGCCACCAGAAGTTTATCAGTTCTTATTGTTTATGAAGACCTAGTGCAGCAATGGTATCATCGTTTACACAAACGAGTAAATATAAGGTTTGTTAGATGATAGCAAAGTAATCATGTATAGATAGATATATTTAAAATAGTAAAAATTAATTAGATTTATTTTAAAAATTGATAGATAAAGGTTGGGTATCAAAAACAACAAGATTATTTAATGATATTGCAATTAACTTTTATGCATTATCAGTAAAGAAATTAACTTATGAAAATTTGGTTTGGATTATTAGATCCATTAAAAGAGACCTAATCACTCCAACAGAAAGATTAGTGTAAAGCAGAATCAAAGAATGTTATGGCTTAAAGTATAATAGAGTTGAATGGGAACATATTATGAATTAGTTCAAAATCTCAAAAACACTCAATCAAATTCCGTTCTTCAAATGGAAAATTAATAGAATTGCCATTGCTTTAAGTCAAGAACATTAAGGATCCCTTAATATAAGAGGAAACATATGGGATTTATATTTATTAATAAAATTGGATTGTTGAGGATGAATTTCAACCAGAATTAGATAAAAAATAAGAGTGGACTATATTTATAGAATTTTTGATGGACTTTTTTGCTAAAACAAATGCTCAAAACAACAAAATCTTAAAAGGAGGTAGATATGGCTGTGCTTAATTCATTAAGCTATTGGGACCAAAAAAATTAAGAGATTTATCTCTTGGTAGATTGACACTTTATGTCTAAATGGCAGTTAATAAGAATTATATTCGGTACAATAAGACCATTCTAATACAAGAAAGCAGAGAAAAGTCAGAGCATACAACTGATAGTTCTGTTGATGGTGATCCTTAAATTAAAATTAGAGTAAAAGAACTATAAGAGTAATTGATTGAGTTGCTATTGGAAAATCCTGATGGGTATGATGTTATAATTAAATAAGAGTGTATCGTTGGCATAAATACCTACATTGTTAAAAGAAAGAGTCAATTTTGAATTGAATTTGATTGAATTAGGCTTTCCAAAACTAAAGAACTTTATAGAGAGTGTTAAGGATGTGATTTCGATTGAGAATAGTGGTAGAAATAATTTCATTGCTAAATTAAATTACTCTAAGTTGCCAAAAAAATTTTAAAGTAATTTTCTATTATAAAATATTTAGAACTCAAATAAAGTGAGTCATTTAACTAAAAATATATTTATACCGTCTTATAAATGATAAAAAGCATTTTGAGTAAACATAAATATGGAATCAGTATTAATCAATTATACTATGATTTATCTTAGTAATTAGGAGAATGGTTTAATTATTAAAGATTTCAATGCTAAAGTTTTTTCTAATTTTTATAGAATTACGCTGAAAATATTCTAGTGATTGTTTGTTAAAAAGGAAATCAATACTTAATTTATGAGAGGGATTTAAGATTTCTACCACCTCCACAACCAGCTCAGGATATTAATGATCCATAATTTGAATATATTTTAAGCGAAGCTATTTAATGTAGTTTAGGCTTATCAATACCACAGTCTTTTTTCTCTAGTAGTTGGCTTGGCAAGGTTGGAGATTCTTAAATAAGGTAAAAGTCACCTCCTCGAATTGAAGATTCTCATTAAGAAATTAAAGATAATCTTAAATTCATTGATGAATTATTGGGTATTATCATTCATTAAGTTTAGGAAATGAAAATAAATAAAATGATACTTATTCTATTTAAGATTGGTCTGAAAAGTCCATGAATCCTTTGGGAATGATTAGTTCAATTAATTATGGTCATAGTGAAATTTAAGATTTTGATCTAACTAAAGAGTTGCAATTCTCAATCTAGTAATAATAATAATAATAATAATAATAATAATAAGATATTAAAAAAAAATGAAAGCTGTATAATTTTTATTAAATTTTGAATTTATACTAATTTTTTAAGGAATGTATATTAAATTTTTATAGAATAGTATAAAATTTAATAATTAACATTATAATTTTTCATGTCAAATCATTCATCAATTTTAGTATTTTTTTTTTTTAATTAAACGTCCAAACATTGATCTATTTATTATTCTAAACATAAACATATGATTTAATAGATTTTATTATATTCCTTCATTTCATCACAGTTAATTTTTGATAATTCATAGGCTAATAATATTTTATAAGCAGAAGCAATCTATTACTTTGTTAATAATTTTAATTTTAATTATGTATTCCATATATTTTATATTTTTTGCTGAAAGGATACCTATCTTTAAGCAAGATGATCAATTTGATCTCCTATATATTACATCTAGTATTAATGTATTTATTAATGTTTATAAATTGGATTTTCCTTAATTTATCTAATAATACCATCTAGTTCAGAGTTCTCATAATATTCGTTAAAGAACTCAACACTTTAAATTTAAAAGATTCTAAATATATCTTTTTAGTTATGAGCCAAAATCAATTTATAAATCTCTTTCATTTCTAATTAAAATGGATGATCTTAATGGATATCGTATCTATGCTTGAACCAAGATTCTATATATCTATCTTATTATTGATAATAATCTTGATAAAACTTTTGAACCTTATTTAAGGAATTCTTCCTTTGATCTTCATTAAAAGTAAACTTATCATTTTTGAATTTCCAGGGATATATACAATCATATCTAATTAAAAGATTAAATAAACAATGATTCTCGAAATTGGTGAATAATTTTATTATAGAACCCAAGGAACTTTGTTAATCTAGAGTTCCTATTAAATCTTTAATATCACTTATTGTTTTATATTAAGAAATCCAACTTATAATAGAATTTTTCACATCTTTAATATCTTTAATTCTATTTAATTAGAATTGGTTTTAATTTACAAATGCATAATTGACAAAATGGATTTTAGCTATTTCTACCTGTATTGGAATAATATTAAATTTTTGTTCATTTAACTAAATATAGATATTTTTTGGACACAAATTTCCATGAGTCATTTTTTGACCTTCAAATAATTTATTTAATTTTTCCAAAATTCTATTAACAATCAATATTACTTATCCAATATATATCTTAATATATTGAGATCTCTAAATAATAAATGATATCTACTGTTAATTCCATTAGCTCTTCTAAGCAAATGTATTCATTCTACGGGAGACATATCACATAATCATCATTACAATTAATCACACCCTTATACTCTTCAAACTTAATTATGCTATCCATATAAGGGTATCTGCTTTGAACAATATATTAAATTGTTTGATAATATTCCATCCAAAGGTATCGAATAAAAAAATTGACAAAAATCACATTCATAATTAATTGAGAATTAAAGAATAAGTTCAATCATCCCCCCTTAGACTTATAGAGGACTAATTGTTTTGGTAATTCATCTAATAGTTCCTTAGCCAATTTCCCTTGATCATTCTTAACTTTATTGTAATGAACATATTTAACTAAGTCCCTTTCTGCTTATCTCCCATGAGTATCCCATAATCCATTGTTTCCATCCAATTTATCCATGGCTTTCAAGTCAGCTGAGTCTCCAATGCCAACAATAATAAGAGATAAAGGGAGGTTTCCTGCATCGACTATAGACATAATTGTTTAATCCTCATCCATATACTTTCCATCTGTCAGAATTAATAATACAAAATATTGGTTTCCATTTGCATTTAAGTCCTCTTGTGCCCATTTCATCACCTATCTAATCATAGGATTAAAACAAGTAGGACCATCTAATTAAATGTTCTTAACTGAGAATTCATATATTCTTCTGATATCCTCTAAATTCTATGCTTCTCCTTATAATGGAAAGCAGTGTTTATTGAAATTTTATAAATATCTTGGTATTCCTCCAAACCCATACATAGGAACTCTTTTGTCGCTGTCATAATCCATCAGTATTTTTGCTACTTATTCAATAGCTTATAAGTATTGACTTTCCTTTGATATTGAATGTAATGATTCATTGTTGTATGGATTTTTATTGCTCTCAGTAAAATCAATTGCAATAATCAAAGCTAATTAAGTTCCCTATTCTATATATATACATGAAATATACATACAGATATAATTATAAAACTGGCCTTCAATATCATATTCAAATTAATCAATCATTGATCTTCCTATAATCTCATTATTGAGGTTGGTGATGTTAAATAAACACACATTTTTATCTATCTGGTATTTCCAGAATTCAAATTCACCAAGACTTTACTAATTAAAGCCTTCATGTTGAATCACTAGCATAATCAAATAGTTTATTACCTTCACAAAATATAGATTGCAATGGGTCATTATCACAAAGAATTTCAAAGGAAGTCTCGATTTTTTTCCAATTCAATTATGACGACTTAGGTTTCGCTTCAGTTTATAGAATTACCTATTTATTTGGTATCTTTTTATATAAAATCAATGACAAGGACTATTGTTCTTTAAAAAGACTGAGCAGGGACTAAAACAGAGAATTATTTAGTTATAAGTAAATCTAAACACATTTAATGAAAATATACGTCGAACTTGATTTTCTAGATATTTTCTTGGCTCCTTTCTGTTTTGAATGTAATCATTCCATTCCTCTGATTCATCAAATCGGATATATAAAAGACTCTTTGTTTATCTCCTAATATTTCACCCAAATTCGCTTGACATTATCCTATCATACTACACCAAACATACCTATGAATTATTAACCTAAATAGAGATCGAATTTTAAAGGCTAAACCATTTCGAATAAATATTTGAGACCATAAAAATTTAAACATTACATGATGATCATTAGAATAATTCTATTCTTTAATATTCATAGTACATCAATTACTTTGAATTCTTAAAAAACCCCGTCAGGATCCTTTGTAAATACAATTAATTAATAGCTTTATCCATAACGCAGCCCATTTAATTGTTTACAATAAACTTAAATATTAATCGAATAGCCTGGCTGATTTGATTAATACATAATTTTAAATACTAATTAGTTTAATCGATCGAAATAATCAATCTTCTCATGATCTTACATATCTATATAATATTAGAAAACATAAAGGATCAGATATTCATATCAGATTATAAATTTAATCAAACCAAGAATGTATTTTTAGAGTCTTTTATGAATGAATAATCATAATTTATTAAATATTAATGTTTCAAAATTAAGGAATATTTTGGTTATTTTTAATATGCTTAACAAAAAATAAACTTTATTAATTTGAGAATTGGTAAACTCTTTATATCCTTGAAAAATGTAAAAAATATCATGTCTGTAGGTTCTTTGATGAAGAAAATTAAAAATTTGTATATATTACTTACAATTAATAATAAAGTACATTAAATCACTAAGATATATATAAAGAAAATAGTCATTTCCTATTAAACTTATGTTTTCAAAAGTAGTTAATTAGTTTTCGTATCAAACTACCATAATTTATATTTTAACCGTCCATGTTTTAATTACAAAATTCTGTTAAGAATAACTTAAATTATCAAAGTTTTCTGAACAGAACTATCTGAGTTGAAGATACTCTGATCATTATATAGGATTGTGATTGAGATATTACAATCAATTAATATATTTATTTAAATTATTATTAAATCAATGGATCAAATAAAAAATGTTGAATCTTACTTGGATAATTTACTTGGAGATTTTTAAGCTACTAAATGCACTAAATTTGCTCAATAGTTAGTTTCAAACAAATCATAGAAAATATTTCAAGAATTAGATTCTCGTTAGTTATTTATCAATCAAAACCAATAACATTTAGATATGTCGTTTCGGTCCTAAACTGCCTAAATCTCCATTCCATCTAGGTACAATATCAAAAATAGTAAGAAAGATTGATTGCTTTGGCCAAATTGAAGTGAAAACATTTACAAAGGAAGAAATAGATTCGTTGAGAAAGGAACGAGGACAGAGAGCATAGATAAAAGTAAAGCAAATTTAGGAGGCTTAAGAAAAGAGAAAGCAAGATTATTTGGAATCTTGGAAAAAAACCTAGTAAATTTAACACTAGAAACCATTATTCTAATTATTACAAGAATAAGAAACTGCCCAGATTAAGCTGTAATAGGAAATAATACAAAAAAGGTTAGAGTAAATCAAATAAGAGAGGAGACCTTTAAATAAAATAGATTTCGAAGAGCACAGAAAAAAGTTTTGCGATTTAATTATACAACCAAGAAATAAATCTATTGAATCATAACTATATAACTAAACAAAATCCATAAGTCCTGAGAAATCTGTTTATTATATAAAAGTAGAACAAGAAAAAAATAAGCAAAAATTATTGGAATAAGAAAGAAAAAATCATTTGTTGGAATTATAAGAGAAGAAAAAGAATTTTTCTGAAGAAACTAAAAATAGATTTAAACCCAAGTTGAGTTTAGATAAGTAAAATGAACTATTAGAAATATAAAGTAAATTGCACCATAGATCTGATTTCTAAAAATATTAAGTTTTAGCTAATAAAGTTAGACAAAAAAAGATTTCATATTAAATTTAAGACACGGATGAAGATTCTAAATCACTAAATACTTTTACAAAAAATAAAGACTAGAATACCTCTTATGATATCGCCAGTTAGGATACTCAATTACCTAAGTTTAAACATAAGAGTTTTGTTATTGATACTAACACTCAACAATAAAATTAGAATTATTGGTAAAGAGTAGCTTTAAATACTAATATATCAGTAAAAGATAAGAACTTACTAATCATAGAAGAAGCAAAAAAGTATAATTAGATTATAAATTTAGGTTAGAAGAGTTGGCAAAAAAGTAAGAATAATTAGCACGTGTCACTGGTTATGATAGCTTATAAGCGGATAATCTCTTGATTAGTTCCATTAAAGCAAAGTTGACAGTTTTACAAAATTGAATTTTTACTTATTCATAAAAATTAAATTCATATTTTAAATATTTAATTATTATTGAAAGCATTGCAAATTTAATTTTTTGGATTCAAAATAATATTAGTAAAATTGTGAAAAGTTAAACTACTTATATAATTAGTTTTATTTAAACTATGTACTGAGAGTAATCTGTAGCAATATTCACCTCTTCTAAGATGATTTTTTCATCTGATTATAAATTTATTTATTGAATCATAATTATAATAAAATATAAAAGATAGGCTATTAAATCTTTAAGAAAGACAGAATATTTCAAATAATTCTATATGAAGTCTAGTGTTAGAAGTGATATTTCTATGTCTTAAAAAAAACAAATACTTTTTATAATTATTTACATATTATTCTTATATTATAAATGAATAGAAATGATAAGCAAATTGAACATTACCGTTACAATTCTAAAAAAGGAAGGATTGGCAAAGGTTCCTATGCTACAGTTTACAAAGGATTTGATACGAAATCAAATTAAAATGTTGCCATTAAACAAATTTATAAGGCTGATCTCCAAAGTGCAGGTTCTATTACTTCACTTATTTTAGATAATGAGGAACATTTATTGAATGAAATTAACATGCTCAAAAGAATTAAAAATCCAAATATTATTGAAATTCTTGATGTTCTTTAAACAAAGGAGCATTATTATATTATATTAGAATATTGTAATATTGGAGATTTAGACTCTCTGCTTAAACAGAAGGATACAATAAAATTAGATGATCATATAACTTTTTTGTAGGACATCTTAAATGCCTTTACAACATTAATTAGATGTGGGATAGCACATAGAGATCTTAAACCAGCAAATATTTTAGTACATTAGGAAGGAAAAAGAAGGATTTTTAAATTGGCTGATTTTGGTTATGCTAAGACAATATGCAATTACAACGCATAAATATTAAAGAGCAATTTGGGAACCCCTGCGTATATGAGTCCTTAATTACTTAAAGAGGAATAATACACAACAAAAAGTGATATTTGGAGTTTTGGAATAATGTTATATTAAATTATATACAATACTTGTATTTATATGAGTTAATTTAGTGCCTTGGGTAGGAAAATCAGAGTATGATTTGATTTAAAAGATTGTTAATATTCCGATAGCATTTCCTTAGACTCCCAAGGTATCAACAGTTTGTTAAGATTTAATAATTAATTGTTTATAAGTTAACGAAGATAAGAGATTAAATTGGGATGACTTATTTCGACATCCATATGTAAGCCATTATTTTGGAAAAGTGGATATTCAATAGAATAATAGTTTGAAATAGATGCATACTCTAACTCAGAGCCTTAGATAGAAGATTGGATCGGAGGAAAAAATGGATCAGTTCTTAATTAAATTAAAATTAAAGAATAATTAATGGGAATTAAACAATGAAGAATTCAGTATGTTAATTCAGTTAATAAATGAAAATGAGAGCATAAGCAATAATGATATTTAGTGTTTGTTTTAGGAATGTTAAATTGATGGGAAGGTGTGTTATAAGTAATTTAAAAATTGTATATTTAATGGGGATCCAAAAAGGGTGAAAATAGTAAGACATTTATCGAATTCTAATATTAAAATACTATCAAACTTGGATGTAGCTTTAACATAACACAATATAAGAGAATTATTTGAATAGTTTGCGACTACTAAATAAGATACATTGGAAAGACATCAATTTACAAAAATGATCAAAATGCTCGCAAATACTAATTAATTAACCAATCAAAATGTAATGATTGTCTATTAATTTAGATCAAAGAAATTATTGATTTTTTCGACGACAATGGAGATGGGATGATTCAATTTTCTGAATTCAATAATGTTTTGAGATATGTTCAATAAATTGATAGGAATAAAAATAGCGATAATAGTTTGGATACAATAACAGAATTGGATGAAATGTCATTTATTCAAGATCATAGCAATTTCAAGAACGTTAATCAGAAGTTTGAAAGGAGATCAGATTAAAAGATCAGTTTATGCGAATGTGTTAGTTTTTGATTTTTAATCTCGTTATTAATTAAATAAATAGAATTTTAATGAATAGATCAACTAATTTACATTTTGAAATATAAATAAAAAATAGCTGATCATAACATTAAATTCAAAATTGAATAATTTATGAATGTATTTATATGTTTAGAGAGTGTATAAATAAAAAGAACAAAACATATAATTATAAATTACACATCAAGGCATTTCAATTTCACCATATTCTAACAATCTATTTTCATAGACTTGATATTATTGTTCATCTATAAACAATTCATAATTCATATATTCTAAGAATTCTTATTCCAATTTATTTATTTCCTTAACATTAATTCCCCCAATCTTTGCATAGTACTCATTCTTGTAGTAATCGTCATCTTAAAATTTAATCGCAGTTACAATAGCCAACAGCAAAAATCTAGAAAAGATATATAAAATAAATATACCTATGTATACAATGAGAATTTAATACTAGATTTGCATGTTTCTCTTAAAGTCTGTCCAAGTAGATAAGAGCTACGACGAAGCATTGTTCACTGCAATGGGTATATTTGCTTATTCTTTGCAAATAATTGTGGATTGAGATTGCTGGAGCTGCTATTGAATGAAAGATAGAATTAGATTCTAATTCAAGAGAATCAGTTTCTTTGATTATTTCATCTAGAATGTTAGAGATTGTCAAGAGGATAGGATTGGACTGCTGCATTAATTTTATATAAACAATAATATTAATAATAAAAATATCCTTTTTTTATCAAATAATGCTACATTCGCAGTCGCAATCATAAACTGGACATTTTTGATATAAATCAAACCACTCTTCAATATGAGATTGATGTCCTCCATGTTTGCAACTCAAACACCAAACCATGGCTTATTCTATTTTTAATTGATCCAATAGTCTTTATTAATTAGACCCTCTCTTCCTATCAATGTCTTAATTATTTGGTATTGTAAAATACTATGCACAAACAACACAATTTGACAATGCATGATTACAAGAAGCACAAAGATTTGTTCTTGGATTATCATCTCTGGCCAGATTTCTAAGTAATTGATTAAATATTTCATAATTATTACCCTCTTCTCGGATTCCCCCTTCTTTAAATTTCTAAGTAAGGTTACCCAACTGGATTCTGACAGAAATTGCAGCACATTGAAATTTGAGGAGTCAGATACTGTTTGAAGGCCTCATTAAGAAATGCTTTGTTGTACTCCAATTCAGTTTACTTGATCCTACACAACAGTGAATTAATGGGTATATCCTATTTCAATAAATAATCAATGTAAGAATTGAAGATCTTGATTAGTTTATCTTTTTGTGGATAATCTAAAATATATAAATATATCGAAATAATCCCGCATAATTGAAGATCCCCCTTGTCATCAAGGTATTACTACAAATATTAGATAGAGATCTCGGATTTCCCATTTAATATGATATTATCCAACATATTCTGGATTTGTGGTTTCCTACCTTAACAAAATCTTCCCCACAATCCTATTCGATCAAAAATGCTTATTCTATGAGCACCGTAATTCAGATATTCAGCGAATTTATCTTTTTTCAAAAATTCAGCTATTAGTTCATAATAAGGATCTGTAAACTTCTTATTTTCTAAAAACACTTTACAAATTTCAATGATGTTTTTTAAGACTTCCTTTTAACTAATATTTGTATACAAGGTTTTCATTTCATCAATACCTTAAAGAGCCATTAAGATTTGATATGTTTCCTTATCCTGATTGGGTAAGAAATCCCTCAAAATTTGTATTGCTTTCTAGAATTGAAAATGAACACAAGCTATGGCTGCTGCTCTTGTATATTCAGCCCTTGATATGCACTGTTTACAGAAATCTTCAACATTGAAACTCTTATGATCATCTCCACTTTTCCAACCACATCTATTAATTAACTTACTTATCTAATCATTAGTATAGTATTCATAGAAAAAATACTCATTAGATTTTGCTTGACTTTCAGGCTCAAGGTAGATGCCTTCAAGTATAGAGTTATCTTTTTGTTTCAAAGTTAGATTTTAACTTTATATTTATAGGTCCTATTGAGATCGAATGCCTCCAGGTCTGGGTTTCTACATTTGAGTATTATTGGTTAATTATTGCTACTGCTATTATTTGATTTCATCTAGACACAATTGAATATATTGAAAGATGTCAGGATTAGCAAAGTAGCAATCATTTACATCAAATTGAAATCCTTTTGCTAATCTCTCTTAGACTAAATCATGGAAATCCTTTTCATTTTCACCCCCTTAGATTGTATAGATATTCCATTCGTTTTATGTTCTCGTCAATATTTGATCCTTTGAGATGTATTACAAGGAATCCTTATACTAAATCAAATTAAGATAATTGTATAATTCCTAATAAGTGAATTCCTACTCCTCATCCATGTCAATGTTGGTTATGTTATATTAATGCAAAATGTTCTGTAATTCCCCCACAGGTATTTTCTTTTATTTTAACTCTGAGTCCTTGCTTATATTTTAGAGAAGACTTTGCATCCAAAATGGTAAATAAAATAATTATAATATTGAAATGAAGAAATTGAAGATCATTATTTTTATTTAAGCAGGTAATTTATAGTTTCGATAGTGTTTCTATTATAGGTCTGGAATGAAAGTAATTCCTCGTGTTGCAACTAAATTTAATTTTCAATATACTTCATCTATAAAGTCCTGGTTATTCAATAATACTCTTGGCAATGCGTTATCAAATCGAAGTATGAAATATTTGGTAGTCTCACAAACCACATCTCTCAAGTCTTTAAACTAAGTCTATTTAGATTTATTTACTTCTATCTTTCGATCAAAATGCAAATACAAATCTGATTAATCTATGAATTATCTGAATATTTAATTATATTCATGATTTGAATCAAAGAAGCATTTGATTTCCGCTTATTAACTAGCCATCTTTCCATAATCCTCAAATATCTACATTGATTTTGCAATTACTAAATAAATCAGACTCAATGCAGTAATCTTCTCATCTTTCTTGAATCTATAATCAATTAGACAAACGTCAAACAATTAAACAAGTTCTCTGTATCTATAATACGATTCGTTAGATCTTTCCTTTAATGAAACATTCAATTCTTTGTCCACTATGTACTCATCCCATAATTTAGTATAATAGTTCAACCAAAAAATGGGAGTATTTGGATTCATTCTGAAATCTAGACATTTTAATATTGCAACTTCCATCTCCTCAATCTCCTGTATTGTGTATTAATCTTAAATGAGTCTATGAAAATCCTTCAATGTCTTTGGGTAGATTTCTTCGCATTTATGAGCTATGAAAATGGCTGCTACCCCAAGAAGTTAGAATTTAGCTATTAAAACATTTGGCTACCTCAGAAGATATCTTTCGATGTAATTTCTAGATAAATAAAAGGTTTCTCTTTTAAAATGAAATGAATGAGCCACCTCAACCAACCAATCAAATAATATAGCCACCATATGACTTTAAATTTCATTCTAGTTGTTTAAGTAATTTTTTTAATAACTATAAATTTCCTCAAATTTTACTTAATCTCTCATAAACTCATTCAAAGTTTCTTACTCTTCCTCTTAATTATTTTCTAATGAATTATTAAAAGTAAATGAAGATAAATCCTTCCCAAAAGCATCACCTATCAAATTCTCTAACTTAGAGGAATTTTATTATGATTGAATTCTTTTCTCTGAGTTTGGAGTTTCTTCTGTAATTATGGGATAAATAGCATTTTCATTCTTAACTTTCTTTGTTGTAGCTTATCTAACTTAGATAAATATTGAATACACATATTCACATGCCGCCTAATTGGATTTGAATTTAACACTATCACAATTAGTTTTGATTCCTAAATTTCTTTATTTGTGACCTTTTCTAGCCCTACTGTTTTACTTTTTTACATTGTTTTACATTTATATTCTCTTGGTTATGTATTTATGCTATTAATTATTTTTATTACTAATTGTATTGAAATTAAAATATAAAAATATCAAAGAGTTTCTAATTTTTTTCTAGAGAATTTTCAGGATTAAATGAGAGGATATTATAAATCCTTGATTTAATCTAGAAGAATATAATTTGACAAATTTTATATTTTAAAAAAAAACAACTCAAAATCATTATCCTCTCTTATGCTTTTTGAATTTTGCAACAATAGTTTCAATTTCATTTGGTGGAACTGGATCATGTCTTTTGTATTCAAGTGAAAATTCTCCTTGCCCTGATGTAAACCCTCTCAATTCAGTTGCATAACCAAACATTTGAGACAAGGGCACATCGGCATTCAAAACAAACATATCTCCTCGAGATTCTGTATTTGTAACTGACCCTCTTCTCTTGGCAATACCAACCATGGCTTATTAATAAGAAGGAGCAGGAACCATAATTTCAACTGCCATGACTGGTTCCAAGATTTCTGGTCCAGCCTATCTAAAAGTTTAAGCAAATGCATATTTGGTTGCTGTCATAAAAGCATTAGAGGAGGAATCCACAACGTGAGTCTCACCTCCTTCTAAAACAAATCTAACATTAACAACTGGATAACCAGTCAAAGGACCTTTGTCGACTGATTCATAGAACCCTTTTTCAACAGCAGTGATATATTCATTAGGTATACTAGTACCAATAACATGATTTTCAAATTGATTAGAGAATTAGCCTTCTTCCAATTGGAGTGGTTCCATATATCCAATAACTTTGGCATATTGTCCAGCACCTCCTGTTTGCTTTTTGTGTAGATAGTCAAATTGTTATTTTTATGTGATAGTTTCTCTATAATTAACAGTTGGTTGACCCAATTGAACATCAATTTCAAATTCTCTTCTCATACGTTCAGCATAGATTTACAAGTGTAATTCACCCATTCCAGAAATAATGATTTCCTCACTTTCCTTATCCATATCGACATTAAAGGTAGGGTCCTCTCTCTAAAATTTAGATAACGCCTTTTAGAATCGTGCAGAGTATTCCTTCTTAGAAGGTTTAATGGATAATGACATGACTGGTTATGGAACAAACATGCTGGAACATAATACTTGATAATTCATGTCTCCATAGACAAGAGTGTCACCACTTGAACAATCTACTCCAAAGACAGCAAAGATATCTCCAGCTTCAACATCATTGATTTCTTCCATTTAATTTGCATGCATCTTAGCCATACGAGCAACCTTTACTCTCTTCTTTGTTTTCATATTATAAACATAATCTCCCTTCTTTAACTTACCTTAATATACTCTAACATATGTTAATTATCCAAATTTATTCTCTTCTAACTTAAATGCATAACCAACGAATGGTAATTTAGGATCTGTTTTAAATTCAATCTTTTTCTCTTCCTTTTAATCTAAAGATATTTAGAATCCAAAGTTTTATTTCTCTTCTGGAGCAGGTAAATAATCTACCACACCATCCAAAGCCAATTAAACTCCCTTATTTTTATATGCACTTCCCATAAACACCGGGTAAAACTTGTGATCTTAACAATTCTTTCTAATGGATGCTTTTAATTTCTCTTCACTAATTGGTTACTCATTCAAATATAAATCCTCTATCTCTGGATCAATACTTCCCAAAGTCTCAATCAATTCTTATCTCTTCTCCTTTGCTTCCTCCATGTATCTCTCTGGAACTTCGGTTTCCTTTACGTCCTCTCCTTTCAATCCTTCAAAGAAGTAAGCCTTCATTTTAATCAAATCTACTAACCCATTAAATGTTTAATCCTATCCGATGGGTATTTGTACTGCAGCGACTGTTAATGACAATCTCTTTCTGATACTCTATATGGCACTCCATGGATTTGCTCCCATTCTATCCAATTTATTTATGAATATGATTCTTGGCACTTTATATCTTGACATTTATTTATGAACTGTCAATGTTTATGGTTGGACTCCTGCCACTCCACAAATCAGCAATACTCCACCATCAAGCACTCTCAATGCTCTTTCTACTTCTATGGTAAAATCAACATGTCCTGGTGTATCGATCAAATTCACCTAATGTCCTCTCCATTTCAAATGAGTTGCAGCACTTTAAATTGTAATTCCCTTCTCTTTCTCAAGTTCCATAAAGTCCATGGTTGCACCTGCTGAATCTGCTCCCTTGACTTCATGAATTTCATGAATTCTTCCACCATAATAGAGCACTCTCTCTGAAAATGTTGTTTTCCCAGAATCTATATGAGCTGAAACACCAATGTTTCTAATTAACTTGTGGATAGGTTGACTAAACCAAAACATAGGAGTTCGCATAAATGACTTGAATCGGAATATATTATTCATCTCTTTAATTTTTACGAGAATTAAAAATTTAATTTAATTTTATTTTTTTTTTCATTTTCATACTCATCCTCACCCTACTCCCCACACTAAGTCAAATCCACTATTACTTTAATAATCCTTATTTTTATTCATCTAAAATTTATAAATAAAAAAGCCATTAAAAATTATAAATTCTATTATTATCATTATAATAATTGTACTACCTTCTGTTGGTGTTCCTGAGAAATTCACAAATGCAAAAAGAGGCTATCATATATCACTATTGTTGATAAGTGCAACTTTCTCTTCCCCAAAATTCCTGTGGTTCTTAATGTTAAACCGAAGCAGATCGAGATTCTTAAGCAAATCAGAAGTAGGATGATCAAGTGAAAATAGAAATTTAGAATTGCTTGTAATAAATTTGTTAGATGAAAATAATTGGAAGTAATGATCAATTAAATTCTTCCTCTACGGCTTCAGGGGCTTCAAAGTTTATATTATCTAGATTAGCTAACATTGATTTTTCATAAACCTCAGAGTTATATTCTTGTTCTTCTTTGGCTTTTTCATCTAATTAAAATTCTGCATATTGTTCATCTAATATTAGTTAATGTAGTACCAAGAACATTGCATTGCTCTTCGAAATCTTTAATTAAATCATCATATTCTAACTTGGCTCTCAATTCTCTATGGTTCTCAAATGTCTTTAATCTCACTTACTATTATTGCTTCTAAGCATTTAATTCAATTTTCTATGATTAAAAGACACAGATACCAATTTTGTCATCTGCATTGTTTTTTCTTCCATATTTTGTAATAATTTGTTTAAATATTTTTTAAATAAAAAATAAATCCATTATTTTTGCATGGTTCAAGTGAAGAGACAAGACAGAAGAAAAGTTTATGAATACTTGTTATTGGAAGGTGTTATTGTGATTAAGAAGGTAAATGATGAATCAATTGATTATAGGACATGGCACTCCCATTGCATGCTGAAACAGGAGTCAAGAATCTTGAAGTCTGGATGCTCTTGAGAAGCTTAAGAGACAAGAAATTAGTGGATTTAGTATTCTCATGGCAATATTACTATTATTATCTCAAGGCAGAAGGTGTGAAATATGTAAGAGACAAATTGGGTATGTGTTTGAATTTGACATTTTCTTAGGTATTGTCGAAGATGTTATTCCTGCAACATTCAAAAAGGCTGATAAGAAATTTGAAGATGATGCTCCAGAGACAAGACAAAGAGGTGGAAAGGGAGGAAGATCATTTGGCAGAGGAAACAGAGGAGCTCCAAGAAGAAATGAAGAAACAGAATAGCCAGCCTAATGAATATAATTACATAAGTATATTACATTACCCATCTATTATTTTCTACACAGTTGTAAAAATAATATAAATTATTAATATAAATATATTCAAGAACCACAATTCAAGCAAACCTCAACTTCATCACCATCTTCAGTAACAATAATTTGAGGTTTACCCTTCTTAACAGTTTTACCTTCATTAGTAACAATCTTTTTGGATGCACTCTCATCGATTAACTCTTATTTGGATGATTGAATTTTTATTTGTCCCCCTTCTTTTAATAATGCCTCAACATCCACTGTGAATTTAATGGGATCTGCTGCAGGTCTAGTTCTCAGATAATACATTCCTTTAATAGTTATATATAATATGTACCTGTTTTTCACCCCTTTTCTCCCAGCATAGAAATGCATAGAAGTCACTTTAGACATTGTTGGTTCAGCCATGTGGATATTTAAGGACTGACTCTAATCAATAAATGGAGCTCTGGAAGTGGCCAAATTTAGTATTGCTTTTTAGGAGATCTCCCAAACAGTCTTATACAAGGATTTGATATTATTAGGAATTTCTTCGATATTCTAGACAGAACCGTTGTTCATGATTAATTTATTCTTGATTTGAGGTGTCCATAAGTTTAATTCAATCAAATCATCAACTAAATGAGGATTAATGCAAACGAATTCTCCAGCCAACACTCTTCTTGTGTAGATGTTAGTAGTATATGGTTCAAATGATTCATTATTTTACAGAATTTAACTTGTTGATGCTGTTGGCATAGGTGCAATCAATAAAGAATTCCTCATTCCGTGCTTGGCAATATTCTATTTGAGAGTATTCCAATCATATAATTTTGGACTTACACCCCACATATCAAATTGCAATATTCCTTATGAAGCTGGACTGCCGGTAAAGGTTTCATAAGGTCCAAGCTTCTAAGCCAATTCCAAAGATGTTTAGCATGCTCCATAGTAGATAGTTTCAAAGATCTTTGCATTCAATTCTAAGGCATCTTCTGAATCAAATGGGATTTTCATTCTTTGTAATGCATCTGCAAATCCTTAGACTCCAATTCCAATAGGTCTATTTCTTTTATTGCTGTATTCTGCTTATTTAACAGGATAAAAGTTCAAATCAATGACAATATTCAGATTTATTGTGATTATTTTTGTAATCTCTAATAGCTTATCAAAATCGAAGGTTTTATCTTCTTTGATTAACTTTTACAAATTAATACTAGCAAGATTGCAAACAGCAATTTCATCAGGTGATGTATATTATATGATTTCAGTGCATAGATTACTACTTTTGATAGTACCAAGATTCTTTTAATTACTTTTTGAATTACAAGCATCTTTATATAACATATATGGTAATCCAGTTGATATTTGAGCATCAATGATTTCTTACCACAATTGTCTGGCCTTCATTGTTACTCTTCCCATGTTTTTAGACTCATAATCAGTGTACAATTTGTTGAATTCTTAACCATAACAATCTTAGAGACCTGGACACTCATTTGGACACATCAAAGTCCAATCCGAGTCATCCTTCACTCTTTACATAAATAGATCAGGGATCCATAAACCTAAAAACAAATCTCTTGCTCTTTATTCTTCAATCCCATGGTTCTTTCTCAATTATAAGAAACTGATAATATCACTATGCCATGGTTCTAAATAAATAGCGAAGGATCCTTTTCTTTTGCCACCTCCTTAATCTACATATCTTGCTGTATCATTGAACACCTTCAACATAGGAACCAATCCATTGCTGATTCCATTAGTTCCTCTGATATAACTATCTTATGATCTGATCTTTGAAGCACTTAATCCAATTCCTCCAGCAGACTTACTGATTAGAGCACATCTCTTGAGAGTCTCATATATACCTTCAATGGAATCATCTACCATATCCAACAGGAAACATGATGACATTTAAGGATAGGGAGTGCCACTGTTAAATAAGGTTGGTGTGGCATGAGTGAAGTACTTCTAGGACATTAAATGATAAGTTTAAAAGGCAGATTAGAGATCCTCTTTGTGAATACCAATGCTGACTCTCATTAATAACTATTATGGTCTTTCAATTGGCTTTTTCCCTTCCTTTAGTAAATAGCTTCTTTCTAAAGTCTTAAAACCAAAAAAATCATATTGGTAATCTCTGTCATAATTTATCTCATTTTATATGATATCTTTATTTTCCATTATTATTTTATAAACATCATCAGCAATCAATGGGGCTGGTCTACCATATTTATCCTAGAATTTAGAGTAAAAATTTACTGTGAATGAATGTAATTTAGTTGCCACTTCACTAAAGGATTCACTTGTTTCCTTGTGGAGGTTGTTGACTGCTATTCTTGCAGCCAATAATGAATATTGTGGATGAACTAAATTCATGTATGCACATGTTTCTGCCGCCAAATTATCCAATTGCACAGTTGTAATTCCTAAAATAAAATATAGCAATTTAAATTACCCTCATACATCCCTTGAATAACCTTCCACATTATCAAGTTTATATTGATATGTTATAGATTTGATGCTAAATTTTATAATCTCTCTGCTATCTTCTAAATATCGATGTTTTATTTTCCTCCATCTCTTTTTAATACATAAGATATATTTTTTTATTTTGCTAATTCTTATAAATGCTCAAAAGAATAATCATGATCTTGATCCATTTTTTATATATAAATATATTTTTAAACTAGACTTTACTTTAAATTATGCAGTATTTGGCTCCAAAAATCATAGTTTGAAAATTATATATAATATAATCAATAACGCTAACCTGGAGAAGTAAATCCACTACTATAAGTCAATTAAGATTCTGACAAATCCCTTGGTTCTATGTCAACCTCTTGTTAAGGTTTATAAAGAGAGAATTGTGATGATGATCCTGGACTGTAAAATTGCTATTACTTTTAAAATTGTCCTGTGTTATATGCTAATAGGCATAATAATAATTTGTACTTGAATTGTTTTTATTTTCAACTTCTTGATTGATTTAATCTCTTATTTATTAAGTTCTTTTGAATATCTCTTATTCTCTTTCTCTCAACATAGATTACAATTGTTCATCATGTTCTCTTTCTCTTATATTTTGCATCTCGTCTCTTAATTGATTACGCAATTAATTTATCTTTTCTCTTTCATCTTCAACCAACATTGAAGGTGAAAATTGTTGCTATTTCTAACTAGATTGAAAATCGTACAAGGCACTTGATAATTTTTAACTAGTCATTGGTTCTCTGATATCGCCTGAACTTTACTCAAAATTGTTCTAATAATTACTATTTTAATAGTAATTTGGTTAATATTGTTAATTTGAGAAACTCTATGATTTTTTATATTACTCCATTAATTGTTATTCCTGCATTCTCAATTTCTCTTGATGCTATTTGGCCATTCTCTCCATCTCTTGCTCAAATTATTACCTTCTCTATACACTACTTTATCTCTTCTTGTCTTCAACCTATTTCTTGTCTCTCAACTACTACTCTTCTTTGCTGATCTATTCCGAAAACATTTGATCTCTTAGCTTTTTCTCTCTCTCTAACTAAATCATCTTTAAATCCTATTGAAATGAATGTATTCTCTCTTGATATTCAACTTCCTCTATTTATGCTTCATTTTCCAGTTCTTGTAACTGCTGCATCCTTAATTACTTCAATTATTCGACTTTTATTTATTATTGCTAAGAGTCCATTTTCCATTATTCTTACTTGATTTAATCTAATAATTCTTTTTCCTTTGATCTGAACTCTAATTGTGATTGAATCTTCCTCTGATTCTCTTACTTTGTTCTTTATTCCATTTATTGTTGAAACTTACTAAATATCTGATACTCTAAATTTTGTAAGGCCTCCTCCTCTTACAAAGAGACAATCCTAAAATTGTCAGCCAATTAAGTTTTCCTGAATTATTTATTTAAATATTCCTATTCCTATTGTTACAAATCTAATTATTTCTAAACTGCTTGATTCATATTCTTCTCTAAGTTCTCTAATTGCTTGATTCTTTGCGATCTAACCTATTGATCTTATTAAAACTGCTTTTGAGCTCTCATTTCAACTTGATAATCAAACATCTCTTGTCTATCCTTCTCAGCTTACATAGTCAAGAGCTACTTCTCCTAAAACAACTAGTCCAATTACTCCATCTATTGAGCCATTTATTAGAGCCTTGAGATTTGTTGCTGTTTCTATATCAATCTTTATTCGTCTTCTTACAACTACTCTCTCACTCTTGCCTAATACTGCACACTTCCTTTTGGATAAATACTGAAGAGTTGATATTAATCCTTTTGCAAAGGCAATAGAAATTATAAATTAATCTAATACTAATCCATATCTAATGATTTGCTGAGATTAATTGTACTCTCTATAAGTCTGCCAATCTCAACTGTATTGCTTTTAGCAAAGAACAGATCCAATTGATCTTGATCATTCATTCTCATAATGGTATTCTTAAAATAAATAAAGTATTCCACCATGAACAACACGATCATTTATGGTAGATCATTATACAATATCAAATGATCTATTAATTAAATCCATTGATTCTTATTCAATAGATTTGTATATAATTATCGAATGGAAGGCCAGGAGTATTTAATTGGCGAATACCCCAAGTATTGTTTCATATGTTAATACAATTGAGGATCTACTTAATTGAATACTTGATCGTGGAATTGTAACAAGGAAACAGGAGCATTAGGGAAGTTTTCGAAAAATCTTTGGCAATGCTATATTAAAAGGGAGAGTGTGGCTTCAAAAATCAACATTTCCTCTCCTCTTTTAAACAATTTAACAAATGGAAAGACCAATTAGGGTAGATAATCGATTTCAGCAAATAAAGGACAATAGTATGCCAAACAAGATAATGTTCTTTGCAATCTTGAAAACAGAGATTCGCTCTAAAGAGGGTATTGATCAGCTAATTTTTAATAGGCTGGATGAATTCCTTAATTAACTAGATTATTATAGGCTTCCTAATTCATTGGTAGATTGAGTAAGGATCTCCAAATTAAACTTCTTTTATCATCTGGAAAGACATGATATTGAGTTAAGAACTATTATAGTCTTTGATAATTTAAGAGTTCTTTCAATGGATCTTCACTATTCTTATAAATTTTCCCTAAAGTGTGAGAATTGATTGGTTAACTCATACTATTAGATTTGCTGTTCTTCTTACTGACAACTGATTAAGAAAACGACCCTTACATAGTGTTAGTGTTATTTCCAACTTTCTTGATGTCAATATTTGTTGTAGTATTATTAAAATTAAGAGTATCTGCATAATTCTCTTTGATCATAGTGCTCATATTTACACCAATAGTTGAATTAAGATTCTGATTCTACTTGTTTAATTTATTAAGATCATACAAGGCAATTTCCCCTGTATTTAAAATAATGGCAATCTTATTTTGATAAACATCAAAGTGAGTAGGTGTTTTCCCCTATAATATTTCCATGCATTTGATGAGACTACCACTGCTATCTATTTAAATAATCATGAAATTCTTAGTCAACATCAACACCTATTATTTTTTAATAGGTTTAACTAATAATACACCATTGCCATATCCTTGATTTACATCCTAAGTTATTAAATTATTGTTATTATCTAAAATGTAAATTTTATTAGAGTGACAATTAATTATCAATCTTTACCCATCAATTGAGGGGACCATTTGACAGAACTTGATGTTGAATTATTCAGGTAATTAGATTCTGCTTATGATTTCGAATGATGATAAATTCCAAATTGATAATGATCTGTCTGCCATTACAGTTGCTAATTCAGTTGAAGAAGGCAAGAAACTGGCTCCTACGAAGATACTCCCTTTGGAGAACAATGAATGAACTTTTTCAAATGAATCCAAGGAATGTAAAATGCATTAATCTTGACTCACTGAGAGTAGGAGATTTTATGTGTGATTTGTATGCAAACTTAGGATGAGATGTTCATGACCTTTGAGTGTTTTCAAATTTCTTCCATCTTAATTTTTTATTTAGATATATACTTTAGCAGGAGACAATTTGAATAGTTTTATTTTACAATGCAATTGCTAATTAACCTCCTTTGTTATCTATGTATGATATCATTTGAGCTGGACTAATTGTAGGAATGTTGATGTATCTATTTTTATCATGGTAAAAGATGAAGGGATTTCCTGATTAGTCTATGCAAACTAAGAAATCGAAATAGTAAACTATTTTTGGTTGACTCTTCAGTTTAATCAAATCAATCAAACCATTTATTGTTTATCCCTCTGGATTCATCAAGGATCCATTCTTCACTGCCAGGGTGTGTTATTATTGACCTTTATTTTTCATATTAATTTAAAATTTAAAATGTAAGTTATACTCATTAAATTAAACAAATGCATTTTTATTATGAAAAGAAAATTAATTAAATCTCATTCATACCTCAATCTTGATGTTTATATTGCAGTAACTGAATAAACAGGCAGAGTTCGTTGCTTTATAATGAGGCAAGGAGATTTTTGTCGATCTCTTAGTAATTGTAAAGCCTTGGCTCTACTAAATTTATAGGGACTATTTAGTCTAATTTAGGCTTTTTATTTAATTAGATTACACTCTATCAAATCATTAATTTATAAAGACGAATGTGATCTCAATGTATTTTACCTACTACTCTACTTTTCTCTGGTTATCAATCTCTCCCTTGGACTGACATGTTATTTTCGTATTTCTTCACTGTATTCTTCCTTACTTGTGTAAAATAAATTGGTAGCCACCACTTCAAGTTTTTTTTTATTGAAAAGTTGCTTAATAAATGATAAACCTGGTTTTTGTTGTGTTGAATTCTTATTTTTAATTAAATTCATTTATTGTATTGATTTAATTATAAAATGACTTTTTATTATTCAGCATTTATTGTTAAACAAGAGTAACTACTGCTTAATATTGCCATTAAACACCTCACTTTCAAGTCTAAATTCAAGTAATGAGTACTCTCTAAGGTTTTTCCATATTACATAGAGCATTGATTAAAACTTCACAGATATATTTTAAAGTCTAAATTTCCTATTAACATTCTAGTTATTTCATTGATCTTCCTTAACTAATTATTTACTTCTTAAAATAACAACTATCTTTTTGTTTTTCATTTAAAATTCTCTAAAGATCTTAATCAAAATTTATTCACAAAAAAGATAAAGTAAATATTAAATAACCATCAATTAACTTTATTAATATTAATAGTAGAAATTGTATTCATAAGCGAATATTGTTGCTATATAACCTTTTGATAAGCAAAGAATATATTCCATTAAGGAATGTGTTGCATAATGCTCCTATCCTAATCTAACTAAGTGAGAAGACTTATTGGGGGGGAAGACAATCGAATTATATTTAAGTTTAGAGTTTAGGACTTAAAATGAAATAAATAAATAAATAATTTAATTAATAATGCAAAAGGCTAATATCATTTTTTTCTATGGACCACCAGCAACAGCAAAATCTTATGTGGCCTAGTAAGTAGCAAAATAAACAGGATATGTTTATTTCAACTTGGAGGAATTCTATAGCAAGGTGAAAGCATAATCAGAGGTGGAAAAATTGAATAAATTGATGTAAGTGTTCTAGGCTGAACCAAAGAACTATGTTGTTGATGGATTCCTAGATAAAAAGGCTTAAGCTGTTGTATTCTTTGAGCACTATCAAAAACCCAGATATGTAGTATATTTCCAATCTAGCAAAGATGAAGTTGAATAGAATATCAGATTATTGAGTACAGAAGATCAAAAGAAAAGTCGTTTTTAGAGATTTAGCAACTTCCTCTAAAATCGTGATGAACTGCTGGCTTACTTGAAGAAGTTTCAATTCTTTGTAACTGTCGATGCAGTATAAAAAGGATTGTCAAATAATTTTTAATAATCCTCAGATTTGATCATTCAATCTATCATGAGTTTTTTAAAGCCCAAGGTCTTGGTGGCCTTAACATATAACAATGAGGAATTGGCAGAAGTTTACTTGAATAAAGTGGAGACAGAATTGGGATTCAAGCATTTGCATTTGGAAGCACTCTGTGAAGAAGAGTTAGCAAAAGGAACTCCACAAGGAAAATAAATGGGTGCATTCCTCAACTCAGGTTAGGTAGTGCCACCTTAAATGTAAATAGAATTGTTGAGGAAATACTTGTATGATGATCCTCAATAAACTAAATTTATTCTTACAAGCTTCCCTGAAAAGTATTAGGAATTTAGAACTTTTGAAGATAAATTATTCCCCATTACTGGATTGATTAATTTCTTGAAGGAAGGTAAATCAGTGTCATTTTCTGCAAAGATAAATCCAGTATTGCATTATTCAGCAGAAGGCAAGAATTTAATAATTCAAAATGAAGATTTGGGACCATTCCAGTCTTTTTTAACAAAACGAGTAAAATATGGCGTTGTTATTGGTCCTGTAATGTCAGGTAGGTCAACATTTGCTAAGTACATCTCATAAAAATTTGGTTTGAATTTGATTGAATGGGGAGAAACTACAATCAATTTTTTGAAGGAGAAGTCAAGCACAGTTCCTGGAGAACAAGTAGAAGAATTGACTTTGCCTATGATTATCAAATACTATAGGGAATTCTTTAGTAATGTTACAAATGAAAAATATGTTTTCGATGGGTATTGCAATATATTAATTTTAAATTAGATTCCCTCCAGGATGCGAAAAGCCAGAGTAGATTTTGTAGTTTTTAAATTTGGGATAAGCTAGCTGGATATTAAATATTGGAGTTGATTAAACTAATTACTGGATCAGATATAAAATCAAGACAGATCTCGATGCACAAGATATTACAGATGATCAAAAGGAGATACTGATTACTAACTTAAAAGCACATGAGGAAATCCTTAAGTAAGTTTAAGTGTATGTATAATAACAACCTGATTGTAAATTATTTAAATAAGATACAAATTATTCCTTGGAATAGAATTTCAAAGCAATTGACTAGATTTTTGGAAAGAGAGTGTATTTGGCATCAATCTTAGCTAATTTAGATTCAGATATCTATGAAGCCTTGAAATTGATATACGTCAACATTGCTGCAAAACACAGAATGGCATTTGTTGATGTTGAATAATTGATTGCTAAGAACTTTGACAAACTTTCTAATGATTACGAGATGAGATGGACAAAACAAAATTGTAAGAATCCATCCAATTTTACTCCTGAAACTGTGATGAAATTAGTTAAGTAATACATAGATGAGTTACCGATTTAAAGCAGGTAAGAATTCATATTTATTAATATATAGAGATGTATTGTTGTGGGGTTACATATCAGCTGATTAATAGGGGGACAAATAACAACAAGAACAAATATTCCCAAGAGCCACAGATGAATTGATGATGGTCGAGAAGTCTTTGGGATAGATTAAAGTCTTGTATGCAATCACTGAATAACCATTGAATTCAGAAATCAATGATCCTGAATGGGTTTTAGAAAAACCAGAAGTCCCACCTCCTAAATAAGAAGGCGATGGAGGAGATGAAGAACCCAAAGATGGTGGAAATGCGGATGGAGAAGAAAATGTTCCAAAGTTTAATATTTATAATTATTAATGGACTAAAAGTGAAGTTCCTAAAAATATGGCTTAAATCTTCATGAAGGTCAAATAACCCAATCCTGTAAACACTATTTATTCATTTTAGGTCTAACTTGAAGTCAGTGATTATAGCTTTAAATTAATTTATGATAACTTTGATGAGCTTGTCTAATCATTTTAAGAAAATAACAATCTTACATATTATGCTTAGATATAATTACAATAACCAATTATGGATTGAATTATTCATTAAAAATATATATTATTCAATGAGTAAATATATTATGATAATTGGTTTAAGAATTTTCAGATGCATTTGATTAAATCATTTAATGATTTTATATCTTCCATTAAATTTGATTTTTATTTTAAAAATCAAATTGATGTAACAAACTAATCAAATATTATTAAATTCTCTAAGTTTTCACTACTTTCTCAATAAGGCTATGAGGATCAATTTCTTTAATAAATTTGAAAATTAGTAATACTTACATATGATAAATAAGATCAAAAAGTGAAAAATTCAAAATTATTTTAATTGACTTATGGAACGAGAGAAGGAATCAAAAATAGAATAAAAATGAGAGAAATTACTTATGGAAAGGATAGAATTGAATTGATATGAGCTATTTATTGATGATTTTATAAATATAATAAAATAAAATTAATTTAATGGGAAGTTGCTGTTCTCATAGTGAAAATAGGGAGAGTAACCATCATGGAGGCCAAGAGTAATAGAGAATGCCTAGGGCCATTGGTAGATAGTAATAGAATGGGAATGCAATTTAGGATGTTAATGAATAATATAAAATATATTTTGATATTTTGGAATAACAAGTTAGTGGTAAGGGTTTAAAGAGAACCTAAGCATATAAAAGCCATATTGATATTGGCTAGATCGAAAAGTTGAGGAATGTTTTTTGGGGTAAGTAATGAATTATATAATTGATTTAAGAAACCAGAGTTGAGGGAAAACAAGAGATTTGGTAGATCTTAAGGTCGATCATAAATGAAGATGAGGGTATCTGGATTAAATTATATTAGAAACTGCTCGTTTACTAGTACAGGAGGCTGAATTGAAACCAATCAAAGATTCCTTATAACATGTATATGATAAATTGGGACAAAAATACGATGTACCAATATTTTGCATAAATGATCCAATAGAGTACTCAAATGAGAAGTTTGAGGACAGAGGTTTAATTTAAAATTACGGTAATGATTCCGTAAAATTAACGATTCGCAGTGTCAATTTGAATGGTAAGGATATTGTGGTAGAATGCAAGCAGAATTAGAGTGTAGTAGATTTGAAAGAAATAATAAGTGTTGAGTTGCAGAAGGGACATTAAATTTAATTGGAATCCATGAAACTGTTTTACAGAGGAAAAGAAATGTAAGATAATTATCAAGTTGGAAGATACAATTTAAATAAAGAAGCTATAGTTATAGCTTATCTGAAAATACTCCAAAAGGGATGATTAAATATAACATTTATAATCAATATATCATAAAATGTATTGTATGAAAATTTTTAAATTATATGATAGACAATCATATTATAAGTTAATATGTACAAAACAACCATCTAATTAGATTATGAAATCTCAGTGATTTGCCACACAAAATCTTTATTTTATAGCCACAAAGATGATTAATTTCCAAATTTTTAATTATTAATTTTATTAATTTTACTTCAAAGAATTCAGTTAATATTCTCACAATAATATCTCTATTATAGTTGTAACTCTATAATAATATGTTATCCAAAAGTATTGAATGAATTTCTTTTAGTAGTTTCACTTGTAAAATATCCTAGTTTATATTAAATAGTTTAAAACAATAATAAAATAAATCTTTTGTTTTTAATATAAAATAATTATTTGCAATCTGCTAATCATATGGGCATATATTTTAACTGATTTAAACATTGCGAATGATTAAGAAATTTAGGAATGTCTGATTAAAGACAAATATGGTAAGTTTTTGACCAATTAATTATATTTATAAAGACGAACATGCCAATTAGACCAACTCAATAGCAATCAGAATAAAATATTAACCAAAAATTTCTAAATTATTATTTTAATATATTAATTATTTACAAAAAAAAATTAGAATAAGAAGGATTAAATTCTTCAAAAATATCAGAATTTTTTTAGCATTTTCGATTGAACTTATCAATTTAAAGCTATTATTATGCAAACATCAATATTCATTGGAATTGCTCCTTAGACTTCAATTTAGAATATAGAATCAAACATGATGGTTTAATACATAATATGATTTATATCATTTTGTTACATATTCATTTAGCAACAATTCCAAAACTTACATGTTCTTATTAAACTGTTAAAACCTAGGCAATTTCAATTCTACAAAGAAAGCAAGCTTCAGTATTTCCAATACACTAGGCACAAAATTTGCCATGACCACACGGCATGAATATCTTTTCTCCAATTCTATCTTAACAAATAATGCACAAATTGGATTCCTCAGAATTCACTGATTATAGATCATTACTCAGCATGGGAGGTTGACTTGATTACCTTTATCCCATATTGGTGATAATCGGTTTATAATAATTAGTAGAAACTCTTTAGAGGATAGTAGGTTATTCATATGGTTATTGCTTTTCTTCTAAGTCTTTTCCCATTTCTAAGTTAAATATGAAATTTGCATAATATTATTCCAAATCTTTCTTCTTCATGTATGTGAATGATGTTAAAAAAACGAATAGAATAGGAAGGATGATAATCAAAGCAAAGAGATTGAGATATAAAAAAAGATTTGTCAACAATATTGTAGTCTAATACAAAACAAATTACATGTAATAAGCATCTTTATAAGAATATTATATCTTACTCTTCTATTTTTCAGTTTTTTTGATCAAGTCTGGAATTACTTTTATTGCAAAATATAGAACTGAGACAAATGTTATCACACCATTTAAAATTAGTAGAATCAAAAACAACCATAAGACTTGTATCCAATCCCAAGCAACAAAATTATCCAATTTTAGAGTAATCGATAAAGTTTCAACTAATATTACTATCTTCCATAGTACATTAAACTATTATGACATTCTTTATGCTATACGAACTATTAAAATGCAACAAATGCGTAGTATTTTTTTTTATTGCAATAGATAAGCAATCTTAGGATCAACATTAATAATGGAAACAGTATTAACATCAAATAAAACTCAATTTCAAGCACAACAATCAAAATAAAACATAGTTTCATTAAAGCATATATAAATGATTCTAAATAATAATACACCTTTAATTCTGTTTGTAAGCAATAACAAGTTTAAGCACATCGGCCTATTATAAAAGTTACAAATATTACATATATCAATAAAAATCAGGCAAATCACAATCTAGATTATTGATAAAATATTTTCTAAATAAAAGGAAATTAAAAAATAAACATATAGATATAAAAAGATTTCTAAGTATTATTCTCGTACAAATTCTAGTGCTAATTATTTTACTTCTGTTTCTAATTAAAGTTTGACTCGATCAAGTTATTCTTACATATTCAAAAATAAACTTATTAAATTTATTAAGTAAAATCTTTATTAATTATTCCATTAAATATTAGAGATGAATAAAGGCTTTTCGTTTCATAAATAAAAAACAGACACAAATTTATTTAATCTCAACTAAAATTGTATTTAATAGAATAATCTGCTTAATAATTTCAAATCATCTACAAGGGGAATAAAATTAAATTTCACCCACGTCTTTTAATTTTTAAAATTATTTCATTGCTATTCAACTAAAATTAGATGTTGTGATGCAATATACTTTATTTATAAGAATTAAATCAGAAAAATGAGCAAATAAATAATGCTATACAGGTATAAATGGTTAATTAGATCAATCTAATTGTGTTAACTAGGAATTTCTTAAAGAAACAACATTAAAATGTAGGAAATTTTGAAATAAAGTGTTTTCCAATTTAATATTATATAAATGATAATTTTTTATATTAATATTAAAAACGGATTGTATGAGGAAATTAGTTTCTGTACTATTGATTTCTCTCACTTTGGCAAGTCAAATTCAAGGTCCTTTATCGAATCCAATAATGAATGAATTGGAATCAACTCATTTGGGAAAAGCTTTCTTGAAATTACTTAGCCTAAAATCAAAGGCATAACAATTTGATTTCTCTAAATTATATGCAGCACTTGATGACTTACAAAATTCAATCAAATAAAGATTGGCTGATGAATAGCAAGCATATTAATAAGATGAAGTCTAATATTTCACAGACAAGGAATTTTTTTCAGGTCAAATTACTCAATTCCAGAATGAAGTAAACCAATTAGCTTACCTTATTAGATTGCATCATTAGAAATAGATGTTACAGATTTCACTGAAAGCAGAGATTTATTATAAATTGCCTTGAATGGAAAAGTAGATGAATTGAAAGAGGTTTAATCTTTGGCTGATGGATTAGCAGCAAGAGTCAAAAAGGAAGAAGGAATCTTCAAGGATCAATAAAATCAATATACAAATGCCGTTTAAGCTCTTGATTAAGCATTGTAATTGATCGGATAACTCAGAGATGGTTCATTTATTTAGAACAGAAGTGTTTCATTCTTAGAAGAAGGCCTAAAGCAACTCTAACATCAAAGAATCATGTATGGACCTTTGATCACTGCATTCACTTAAATCATGGCTCCAAGTTTCAATGACTCTGAAGCAAGTGCTAAAGTTTAGAAGTTAATCCAAAATTTGAGAGACACTATTGTGAAAAACAAAACTGACTTAGAAAATGCCTATCAATAGGTTAGAGCCATTGATGATCACAATCTCAGCCAGTATAACTAAAGAATAAGCAACTTATCAACAATTGTAATTCCAACCATCTAGGCTGAAATCTAAACAAGAGATGGTAATCATAGTTTATAATTGATAAGCTCAAATTTAAACCAAGTAAAACTTACTCAGAGATGCCTAAACCAATTTCAAGACAGCTTCAGATAACTTAGATAATACTAATAACAGATGGGTTGAAAGGTATTATTACTATGTAATTTTAGAACCAATGAACACAATAAGTTGATGGACTAACTATTAACTTAATAATCCCTATTTCCCAAGATTGTAAGTGAATTGGAAGGAGCAGGAGTTAGAAGAAGATGATTTTCTTAAATTTATCAAAACATAATATTTAATAATATATATTTTAATATGTAAAATTTTAAAAGAGTTGTTATTTTATTATCTAAAACTTCTGGAAGAGACAAAGTAAGTATTGATTTAATTATAATTTGATTAGTCTTGTAGAATTTTACAATATTTTGGTAAATTTTGTGCAGAATAATTGAAGGAGTTGAAATAAGATGAATTATCATTAAAGTGCAAAAATTTAAGCTCTAACATGAGTTTAACTAGGAAAGTCTTAAGATTTGGAAGAACAATAGGAATCATCATTTCAATTATGGAATTATCAAAATAAAAAGGAAATAAAGCAATCATTCTCAATAAAATATTGATGAACATCTCTTGCTTCCTCTATTTTCTAGTTGATCATACTCATTGGTTTTGTAAAGTAAATTCATTATTTAACTTAGATTTAAGTCATACAAAACCCATAACTAGAAGCTAAAGCAGATTATTGGAGTGACGCACTTTGGTGCTTTGAGGCGTTCTTTGATTGCGTGGCATTAATTTTAGAAATTAGAGAAGAAGAAAATAAAAGTTAAGATTCAAAGTCATCCCAACGTCTTTTCAATCTCAGATTGGACCTATTAAGAGCCTTTATGGACTTGCTGGTATATATATATATTCTAACTATGAGAGTGCTTATGGATTTATCAGTAATGGAAAAATGCCAGGCAAGTGGATTGGTTTCTTTGGAACAATTAGCTCAATTATTGGACTTAAATAACAATGGGATGCAGCTAAGTGAATTATAATAATTTCAGAAATGTATTTAATAACAATAAATCATTCGGTTTGTTAAATAATTTAGAGCAATAATGCTTCATTTTTCATAATATTCAATTTTGGTTTTGAAAATATTACGAACACTGACGTTAGGATTATAACATTAGGTACTTCCAACTCCAAAAACCTTTTATATTCTACTTTATGTTTTGCACACAACTTTTCGTAAAACAAGAAGATAATTCTCTTCATTCTTTGTTTAGATATAAGAATTTATGGGGATCGTTATCTGATATTTTAAATCATTTGTTCCATCTAAAGATAGAACTTATTTCTCTGTGCAATATAAAACTATTAAATTTGTCTAACTTTTAGGTAAAAATTCATAAAAGATTGCTATAATTATGCTTGCGTTTTTATGAAAAATGTATCATTTAGAGTTATCAAGATAAGATCCGATATTTATCTTGAAATTTTGTCAGATAATTTGTTTGAGAAGATCGATAGAGTTAGATTGGCTTGCATTAAAACTCTCAAATTGAGAGAGGTGGTTTTTTCATGAACGTATTTCCATCTTTGTGCATAATGTTTTGGAGAATTATTCATGCATCTTAATATTTTATTAATTTTAAAATGAGCATAGAGGGTATCAATATACTTTAAAAAATTTAGAACAATTATCCATTAATTTATGTATTTTTTCATCATTCTTTATTGATTTAATTATTTATAAGATTGTACTAACATTCTTTGGTATTTTTAAATTACATTTTAAGATAATAATTAAAGTTTTTTCTGTTAAGCTAATAGTATTTTATTTTTTAATGAAACCTAATCACATCTTTGTTTTACCGAATTGATTCTACGATTATCACTAAATACTCTAATTGGAGGGACACTTTCATTAATTAGAGATTTTCCAACACTTTACATATTAAAGGAAATATTTTTGTTTGTATTAAAGGATTCATCTTCTGTATTATTGTTATTTTAAGAACCACTTCGCATTCTTAGTTATTCCCTTCCATCGTAACACAGAAAATAACTCCTGTCATATTGGGATGCTATTATTTTGAAAATAAATATTTATACTTTAAAACCATGCTTTAAGTTTGATTGAAGTACTATAATCTGATAAGAGAGAGAAAAATAAATAATTCTTATGTTCTTCTGGTTTCTTAATTACAATTATTTTTTATTATTTTATAACAACATGTTTCTGATGATTCTTTTGGGAAGGCTAAGAGGTTAAAAATGAAAAATATATATTGCATTTAAAAGCCCCTACATTGAAAAATATTTTCAAGGGAAAATAATCTTGAATTCTTATTTTAATATATTATGGAAAGCCTTTCATAATTGATGTGCTTGCCCATTAATCATTTTCCAATTCTAAACAGTCATACTGATAATCAAGTTGATCCGAAAAAAGTAAGTAATTCCTCTATAATATAATATTATACTATACTGTTTCTCTTCAATTAGTAAGGCTGGTAAAAACTTGAATCCATAAAATTATTTATTTTAAATTTGGTATATATATAATAACTTCTTTTTCTTAGAATTATGCATTCTTAAGAATAGTTTACAACCTTTTCAATTTAGATAAGTCTAAGATTGCTCAAATTATTTTTGTTCAATTCTTTCAGCATTAACTTACTTCATTTTTAATAATCTTTAATCAGTTATGATCAACCTACAAATATTGGGATTATCATGATATTTATATTAATCTTTATCTTTAAATTCTTCTCTTTTTAACTTTAATTAATAATATTTGTATTTTTCAAATTATCTTTCATAGACTTTTTTGAATTCTTGAAATCAATCATTTGTAATTTTTCCATCTAAATATTAAAATATTTTCAAATTCCACTATTAGATATTTGTGTGAACTCCGCTTAAAAATTACTTAAGGATTTATTTTAATAATTTTATTCATTATAAGTCTAATTTAAGAAATTTAATTATCTATTTAAATATTTATAAGGAAACCCACATATTTAAAGTACAAGACTATAATTAATTTAATTTATACACATGTTTAAGTTATTGATTCAAAAATAATAGGGTAGGAAATTTAAATTATTAATTTATTTTAAATTAATGATTTATAATTATTTAATCATTTACACAAAAAGCCTAGGAGGAGCTTTTCTTTTATGATAATTATAGAGTGATATTAACAGATGATTATTAAGTTTAAACATCTAAATAAAGGGATTTATAATAACAATATTATTTATGAATATAGCTGTTGACAAAAATATTGAATAAAACATAAAATAATTGGCCCAAATATAGAAAAGCATTTAAGAGTGACTGTTATTTTGTATATATTAATATTAAATCTCTTAAATTATCTCAAAACTTTAATAAAATTCTTGGATTAATTAATTATAATAATAGCTTTGATTGTGTCTTTTAAGATTGTATATAATATAAAGGACATTAGAACTCGCCATATTTATTTTCAACTCTGGGCTAGGAGTAGCAAATCTTGAGCCAAAATTAAATGAAGAAAATGTAAATTGTAAAATATCAATCAGTTCTGGAGATTCTTTGATAGTTAGCATAGTCAGCAATAATTAGAAACAGATAATAGAGGAATTTAAGTAATAATCTTAACATTTAAGATTAAAAATTTAGATTGATTTTGATATATTAAGTTAATATTTATATGATTCAATATAGAAATATATCACACAGAAGGGGGCTTTTAGAGTAGCATTAGCTACTATTAGATAAAATAATACTACAAGATCTATTCTTACAATTTTTATTAGAGTAGGATTGAAAAAGAATTAATTGGTGCGTATGATTATTATTATTATTATAATTATTACTATTATTATTAGTAATATTATTAATATTAAGTTCTATTTTAATTGAGTTCTTCTTCAACCTTGACTAGTTTTTAAACTTTATCATAGTTTTCCATTTCTCGAATGTTATTGAGTTTTTCCATTCTCTTTGATTATTCTTATTTTTCTTCCTCGAAGTTTTTAGTTGGTAATTTATCAAGATATTTTGTAAATGCAGATTTTCTTTCTGAATGAGTTAATATTTTAGGAAGTTGTTATTGAATAGGTTGTTCAGTTTGAATAGATTGTTATTGTTATTATTATTATTATTCTTCTTCTATATTCATATCTTATTATTATTCCTATTATTATTCTTATTCTTATTATTATTTCACGGATTAGTTGAATTGATCTTATGAATATTGATTCATTAATTCTTATAGTTATGGATAGATTGATGAATAATCATCTGATGAAAATTCGAGCTTCTTAAATTAGGTTTCATCAAGATATTTTCTTTCAACAACGGATATCATACTTTGGCCAAAAAGTTGAGTTAAGGATTCCTCAATCTGAAATTAATAATAAAGATTACCTTCTTTCTAATTCTATTGTTATTGGATTAAAAGACGATGGTGTATTGAGATTATTGATATTTTGACATTAATTGTTTTTAAAACTCAATTAGATAATTATCAGTTTCTAAATTATTTTAATAGTAGATATTTAAACATCTGGAGAACTTGAGTGCCATAAATAAGGGATGTTTTATCTAAAATAGATTAGAGTTTATACTTTATTTCTAATATTTGGGGCTGTTAAATAATTGTGTAATCCATTTTCATTATTTTCAATTGGAGCGTCAACTACATCGTTAAAATGTTTTTCTTTTTTGCAGAAGTTGCGTTCTAGATAACTAGGTTCGAAAGGTTGGATATATTAGATTTGTCTGTGTTCATCGCGAGCACTCTTTCTACTGTCGACAAAAACTGGTGGTGATTATAACCCTAGAATGATGTTCTCTCTCTCTTTCACTAATATTAATAACTGAAATCTATGTCCTTAGTGATTGTAAGTTGTGCTATTAAATTTTACGCCCTACGATTGTTAATAATAAATACCGAAAAGAAGGCTTTACCATCTATAATGTCGTATTATGTTGTTCCTTCTAATCCTACTTCTTCAAAGAGATCATTCTATAACATCTTCACTGCCAGTAATTAAACCTAAAATTAGAATTAAATAAGATACCTAGCAATTGATCCATTATGTGCATTCTTCATTCTATAATGAAATTTTTACAGAAATGTTTGGAATATTCCAGCTCTTATGCCAATTCCATCCTAGATCATTTGTATATTTCAATTCTCTCTCGGTATCAATCTTCAATAAAACTGGTCCTTGATTAGGAGTCACAGTTTGTCTTAAATTGATGAAGGTAGTTTTTGTTTTCAAAGTACTCTTACATTATGTCCATGTAAAGCCTTTATGAAATTAAGCCATTTGATTAAGAAGAATTTAAAATTATTTCAAGATTTTGTTTATTTCGAAATCCACTAATAAATACGCATATATCATCAAATAAATTTATACTCTCAATTTGCATGTTTTACAAACATCTGCCAATCAATATGTATTGAATTCCATTTTTTCATACAAAAGACGCCGACAACAAGATATAATCCAAAATATAAAAAACACTCATTAAAAGCTTAGAAATAATTATAATGTAAACGATTAATTAAGATGAATACAAAGCGAGTAAAACTACTAAATTACTTATTGGAGAACACAGAGCAAATAAGGAAATTATAATTTTTGAATATTTAAATCATTAGAATGGAAACTCTTATTTCTGTTAATAAATACTATCTAATTTTGAATTCTACACAAAATTATATAATTTCTAATTAAAATTGTAAAACTAATTTTAGAATACATTCAAGATTGCTCTGTCAATTTGGTAACTTCATAATAACACTTCTAGAATTTGTTTCAACAAGAACAAAATGTACAATTTTTAGAATGAAAATGTATTATTTATAAAATAAATATATCGATTTATTGCAAATTATATATCATTTGCTAATTATCATATTAAATACAATAATACGCATCAATAATGAGTGAAAATGTTCTTGAGAAGCATTGGCTGAGTAAAGTTGCTGATACTTTGTAACCATTTGGAATAGGTGGTTTATCTGGATGTGTGGCTACGTGTTTTATTTAACCGGTTGACTTAGTCAAAGTTAGAATCCAGCTAAAATCAGAAAAATTGGGTCCTAATGCAGGTAGCGAGATCAGTCCATTTCGTGTCTTCTCTGAAATCTTAAAAGAAGGAGGTGTGTTGAGTTTTTGGAAAGGAATTGACTCAGCATTAGCTAGATAAGTATTTTACACTACCACTCGTATGGGAATTTATAAGACAATGTATTAAAGATCAAAGCAAGCAAACAATGGAAAAGAGCCTTCATTTTTAGCTAAATCTTGGTGTTCAATTGTAGCAGGTTTCATTGGCTCATTAGCAGGTAATCCAGCAGATTTAGCTTTGGTCAGAATCTAGGCAGATAGCACGCTGCCTGTTGAAGAGAGAAGAGGATATAAAAATGTTTTTGATGCATTTTATAAAATTGTGAAAGATGAAGGAATAGCAGCATTATGGAGAGGATCGACTCCAACAGTTATTAGAGCAGTTGTAATTAACGTGGCAATGTTGGGACCTTATGATGAGATAAAGGAACATTTAAATCACTATTTTGGAACCAAAGATACTCAATAAACTCGATTATTGTATATTGTTAAAATATATTTCTAATAGAGCATCTGCAGCAGCTGGGTTTTTGAGTTCTTTTTGTGCTTTACCTTTTGATAATGCGAAAACAAAAATGTAGAAAATGAAAAAGGATGCAGCAGGTGTATATCCTTATTCATCTATTTTTGATGCAATTGGAAAAGTAAGAAACATGACTATTCATAGACAGCTAAAAGAGAAGGAGTTGTGGGACTTTGGGTAGGATTTCCAACATTTTATTTCAGAATTGCACCACACACTATGATTACTCTTTTAACTCAAGACTGGTTAACAGACAAGGTCAATTCATGGAGAAAAAAGAAACATTGAATAATTATCATTCAATACAATAATTATAAATTATATTATTATTATTAATATTCATAATAATAATAATTTACATAATATGAAAACTTCTTAATCAGTAAATATCATTAATTATTCATAATGATGTATTCACATATATCTATTCACTTATAGTTTTTTTAAGATTGCACAATTTATTATACCAATATAGAAATAAAAAGATGCAATTAAAATATCGTAATTAATAAATAAAAGATAATCTTAAATTTGATTTGAATATTACACCTTCGAACTTTGGATTTTAGAATAATAATAAATAGTTAACTATTTCAATATTCAAAGCCTTTATTATTCTTAATTACTAAAAGAATAAAAATATAAATATTCTTATAAACAGTTCATTTAGTATATTATTTTAATTAAATTCATTTGCTGCTTACTTTCTATAACCTTTTAAAAGTATAATATCAATTATAAGGTGATTTGTAAAACAAATACAAACTAATTTAGAGGTAATACTGACTAAATTAGTTTCTTTATATTTTAATTCTTACAAACTACTGAATTTTATTGATATTCGTTGTGCAAGTAGTTTAGTTTACACTTAGTGTATGCCCTTTCACTACAAAATAGCAAATTCATCTTTTTTTATTTTATTTCATATTCCTTCTATGGTTTTGTTAATAAACATGAATTTTAGACGCAAATAAGAAATTATTGATTATGATATCAGATACTTAATATAAATAATGATCAGAAATTGAAATATTGCTTTTTCATAAAATTTTGTTTTCCATCAAATATTTTTATTATGATATGCTAAGATTAAAAGAAATTAGCTCTTGATTAGCTTCTCGGTTCCATAATTGGAGGTGGTTAATATTTTATAGGACTAAGTAATTGAGATGTCAATTCTTTTGATTTCCAATTACTTAGAGTGAGAGTTTTCAATTTGACAAATTATGAACTCTTTTTTTTAACAGGTATCTACTCTTTAAACAGGAGCTGACACTTTTTTTGAGGTAATCCTTACATTTGAATAATTGTGAATTAAATATAATTAATTATTATTATATTCAAGCAAAATATATTAAGTTAATTTATCTGAAATTATCCGTTATCTATTATTATAAGGATTTATGCTTGTAATTTTGGGAATTCAAGCAATAAGCATGACTTAGAATTAAAAAATAAGTATAATTGATATAGACATTCATCAACATTTGTAAGGAGAACTTAAATTTAACTAAATGCTTTTTATATTGAATTATAGAATAGACATTTTTTTTTATTAAATCCAAAAATTATAATTATCATTGTGAACTCTTTTCAAAATTTACTATAAGAGCTTATCATATTTAATTAAAACACCAAGAAGCAGTCCGACATAAAGAAAATGAAATTTTCTCCTTATTATTTGTGAGTATAAGCACATTCTTCACTTTACAGTTTATAAATGGTGAAAATATTAAGAATCAATCTAATTATATTATGCATTTTATTCTTTCTATGAATTCATTTTATTTTCAAACTTTGATGTCATAGGTATATATTATATTGTATGAAATATTCAAAAGATAACTTCAAACTATATGATCTATCATTGAATCAAATGTTTGAAAGTATAAGTTCTGTAATTTTTTTAAGATTCTAAGGTTAACTTAAAAGAATAAGGTATCCTTAAATAAAATAAATAAGCTAACTAATCTTTAATAAGAAAGAAATTAAATCATATTTTAAGGTTTAACATTCTTTTAACAACCTTTTAAATTCTTAAAACATTCATAAAATTTTATTATATTTTTTGGGCCATCAGATGCAAAAGCAATCTTAAGAAATATGCTCAAATTGAGAATATTAGTATTGGCTTAATTAGGCCTAAGCTGAGTTTTCATTAGAAAAATATAATGTTGAATGAATAGCTCGCTTAAACTTAATTAACCAATCTGATATTAGAAAAAATTACTTCTTTCTTGATTGAGTTCTATCTTAATAAAAGTATGCTTGCATTATTCTTATCTTTTATCTGGCTGATAAACCCAGTTGATTTGATTTCACTAGCTACTAAGTTGAATCTAGAAATTCTTTAAAATTGGAATTATAATATTACCAATAAAATATTTTCTTTATTTAATTTTACAATACATCAAACATCTGATCGTTCAATACGCAAATATATTCATTCCCATCGAAATATAACAAGCTTTGCATCATACTCTCATAATTTGGTTTATTTGTTAACTAATAATTTGTATAAATACAAATAAAATGGAAATTGTAATAAAACTTAGCCAACTGTTTAATTTTAAACCTAGATTTTTAACTTTTAATAGACGTATTGTCGATAATAAATATGGGATGATATGTATAGTAACTGTAATGGATGTTTAGTTTTATATTTAAACATAAATAAACTTTATGACGTAGTGAATTTATTAAATAATTTACAGAGTATTTTATAATAATAAAGCTATAACATCAGATATTTGATAAATTTTATTCAAGAATATATACATCAATAAATTATCAATTATCAGTTTAGGTAATACTAGGCTATCCAAATGCTATCAACCTATTATATTTAACATTCATTATAATAGTATAGAAAGTGTCTTCATTATGAATGGGATATGTGTCCATTACAGTAAAAACTCCGAATTCATTCCTTAGATTAGCTTATAATTAGCCTAGCAAGATCTCTGCAATAGTTCTTCTTTAATCACTCTAGGGATCAGGTAACCAATGATCATAATTTGTTTACACCAAGTATTAATAATTGGTTTAACCAAGAATCGAAGTATTCAAACTTATGGTTGGATTCATATCAAATGGATCTTTGGAGATGACTACTCCCTAATTTCTGCTTGTTCCTCCAATAACATTATAAATAGGACAAGCTACTTGATTTTACTCTAAGTATTGGACAACCCTATCAAAAGTACTCAAATTATCATTAACTAACACATGTCTATATTCCCAAGCTAGAGAGGGTACTCCTAATTGAATGAAAGCAAGGAGCTGATCCTTACTGATGGGATCACTAAATTTCCAATTTTAATCAAGGGATGCAACATTGTATTTAAGTAAGGTAGAGAATCCTAGTTTGAACCATTACCAGTCGACTGATTCACCAAGGTACTTGTCGTCCTTCTTTATGATTAGATGTAAGACTATATTTCTAGCCTAGAGAGGGGCTTAATCCATGTTTCTTCCATGTATAATTTAATCACCCACTGAGAGTAGAACACCTGTGCTTTCGATCATTTCACCTGAGATATGAGTGATTTCGTGAAAATATGCCCAAGCAGATAAATATTCAAATGTAATTTCACTTCTATTGAACTCTTCCACAATGCCATCCAATTCCAATGAATACTCAGGATAATGGGTTCTAATTGAGTTTGCTATTGTTGAATAGTCGTCTGTATTCAAGATATAGAAAGTATTTTTATTATGGAATTCAAAGACTGGACCAAAAGAATTGTCATATCCATGCAAGTCAAGAATAGTTCTGACTGCTTATTTCCACCTTTATTTTGGGGTAGCACTTAAGTCAATCTCAATTTCAGGCAAATAGTTGAAACATGTCACTGTTGACAAAAACATAAATATTATTCCGTATTGCATTATAATTAATATTATTTTGTAATAATTCGATAGTTAAATAACATTTCCTGATGACTTCATTTATTTAATTAATTAATTTACATTTAATAGATTATATCATTTCTAATTTTATATTTATTTTATAATTCTGTTTAAATTTAGTCAATTCTTTAATTAATACATTTCAACCTTAAATTTTATATATGTTATTTAAACATTAAATTAAAATATTAAAAATGGGTTGCTGCTTCACGAAAAAGAAGAACCAACTCAAACCCACTAAGGCATATGAATACATCAATAAAAATAATCAAAATGACAAACAATAAGAGCTTGAATAATCATTTATTTAAGATGTGGAAGTTATAATAATTGATAATAAGGAAGAGGAATTGGAGAGACACTCACTCAAATCGACTTCAGAGTATTATTTATTGAATATCATGAATAGTATTCACAATTGGGAATAAGGGGAAGTACTTGGATAAGGTGCTTTTGGGAAGGTAGTGATGGGACTCTAGAAGAATGGATAAATAATGGCTGTGAAATAAGTTTTCATTTAAAATCAAATTGACGATGTATTATACATGAATATTGTAGAAAGTGAGACAATTGTAAAAAGAAATTGAAATGCTGAGTAAATTATAGCATCCAAATATTGTCCGCTATATGGGTTGCGAATAGAAAAACCAATTCATAAATATATTTCTGGAATATGTCAGTGGAGGCTCAGTCTCAACTTTGCTAGAAAGATTTGGATGTTTTAGAGAGAGACTTATCAAAACATATTTGAAATAAATACTGTTAGGATTAAGTTATTTACATGCAAAGAATGTCATCCATAGAGATATCAAAGGAGGAAACATCCTAATAGATAATTCTGGTCGCTGTAAACTAGCAGGTAATATCAATCTAATTTTAGATTTTGGCAGCAGTAAGTAATTGAACGATATAACACATGATAGTATAGGATCCATCTGCGGAACTCCCAATTTCATGGCTCCGGAAGTAATTAATCAGGAATAGTATGGTAAAAAGGCAGATATATGGAGTCTTGGTTGTACCGTAATCGAAATGGCTACTGGATAACCACCTTACTCTGAGTATAAGGATGCCATTGCAATCATGGTGAAAATAGGCAAATCAACCAAACCACCTCCAATCCCAGATTAATTACAATCTACAGAAGCTAAAGATTTCCTATCTAAATGTTTATAAATAGATCCTAAAAAAAGAGCTACGGCTGATGAACTCTTAAAGCATCCGTTCCTAGAAGAGCCTAAATAAAATTCTTTGTTGAAAAAGACTCCCTCCTATACCATTAATTAGAAGTAACCACAATCATATAAATATCAACCTAAAAATTCATTTTTGTTGGATGCTGAAAGTCAAGATCAACAAATCGAACCCGTCTCACCATAATTTCAAGGACAACAAGGCTAATCTTCTACTGAAACTAACTAAATTAAGGTCAAAAAGAAGAAGGAAAAACCTCAATATCAATTAGTAATAGAACCAGAATAAAATGATTGCATCCTAACAGGATAGGAAACTAATATAGTGGATAATCGAGATAAGTTCCAATTCTCAGAGTTTAATGAGCTCAATCCTAAAGAGACCTACATAAAACCATTTAATAAAGAGAACTAAGATAATTTGTAAAAAGAGTTGGACCTAATCCTAGGTTAATACATAGGTTGAGATCTCAACAAATTGATTATAATTTCTCTCTTAATTAATATGGTATTATTATAGAATAATCATAATAAGCTTTGCAAAATGATCACCAGCCAGGGAATTCCTCTTTTGTTAAATCTGTAATTTATTTCTGACTCTATTATAATAAATGCAAAATCTACATCTAAAAATAAAAATACTTGCTTTTATGACTGCTGAATTTCTCAACATCCTACTTGTTTCTGCACAAGAGATGAAATTGGAGTGTTTGCCTTTCCTATTTTTAATATAGCTAAATCAAACCAAATCAGCAATAATATTATTTTTCTAAATTTAATTACATTTGTTGCTCAAATATATTCTCCTATCTCTGAATAAGAATCCTTTTGGTATCTATTAGTATTATTTAGAAAATCAAAATCTCCTTCAATTCTCTTTTTAATAACCTATTTTAAAGGAAATTTCAATAATGTTGCTTTTTTCTTTGATATCATTTTCAGCCTAATTTTAATGTTAGGATCAAATATTATTATACAATTCTTGATAATATTTAAGATATGATTGTAAATTTTACAAATAAGACTCTAGGAAGCCATATTGATTTTAAGGATATTATTCAATTTATGCCTACCTTTTCAATGCATTAATTTAGCTTTTTATTGTAATGCTCAAATGAATACTTGAAACAACTAATTTTGGCATTTCTATTTATTTAAAAATGAAATTAATAAAAAACATCAAATAAATTGAGTAGAGACATAAAATAGATGATGAATGAATAGAGTAAACTTATTTTTTAAACATTAGCTTTTATTGGAGTCTTAATAATTAAATTTCAATTGTAATAATTCAAATTATAATAAAGGATGAATATGAATTATAGAAATAATGTATAAATATTATCAAGATTGGCATTCAAAACACTTTCTAATGATCATGCCTACTTGCTATTGAAACTGCTTTATTTAAGAGTCTCTTTATTAAATTTTTTAAATTAGTTTCATCTAAAAAATAGTTTGATTGGTCAACTAGTTCAATTAATCTAAAATATATGGATTGCTTTCTGATTTGGTTTCAACATTCTTAAGAAATGATTAGATTTATGTATAATTTATTTAAAATGGTACTTCATTTTCATTTTCAATTTTATTATAATTATTAGTTTAATTACTATTGTTATTATTACAATTATTATTAATATTAATATTATTATTATTAATATTAATTTGATTGTTTTGCTTAATGTTTTCTTTAGTGGTTTTCTTGTTAAATGCAATTTAGCCTTCTCTAATTTTGGAAGTCACTAAATGCAAGCCCATATTTAATCCTCTTAAGATATTATCAGGGGCACGCTCATCATTTTATGTTTAACTCTATTGGGACTGTAAATGGTAGCAACTAGTCTGGAATTCGCCTAATTGCTGAGTAACTTCTTAAACAACCTTCTTTTAGATGTTGAATTCCTCATTCACACTTAGTTCTTTGTCCTCTGTATATAACTAATTAATGTATGAATTTGATGGCATACTTTTGAATATTTGGCATTTTCGTAAGTTTAATGCTTATTTCCGGAAGGGTCCAAAATAACAATTCTAATTTTCGATTCAATTTCAACTCTTTCTCTTCTAGAAGTTTTCTTCTCGCTTCTCCCCTCTAATTCATAAGTAAGCAGAATGGCTTTGCATGTGCAAGGTTTAGTTTGGAACTTTTAAGCCACCTAAGTTTGATTCAAATTGCTACTTCGGAAAGAGGGATTTTCTCCACAGTTAATGCATGCAAAATTTATGCACGCAATTCTGAAGAAATTTTGTTGTAAGGCCGCTTAGTCCTTGCAGTATCATCAGTAGTCTACAGAGATTATATGACAGCTCCTTTGAGATCCTATTCCATTATGTTTATTTAATAAATGAGAAAAGATGGAGACATTTTGGAATGGGCTAATTTCCTCAGAACATCTATGGACCCCCTTCTAAGAATAAAAAAAATATTCTTGTGGTATAAATGTTTCAAATTAATAAAATTTAAGGATTTATCATTTTATCAATATTTTACATAATTTGAATATTACACAGTCATATTGATTTCAACTGAGGATCATCTATATTTATGGAACCGACTTCATTAATAATTCGTATCATCTCTTGAAATTATTCGATATTAAAGAGCCCTGAGAGTGTATTTTAATTGAATATCAATACTTTAACTATAGTTAATTGTAAATGTTAACAAAATGAGTTAAATCCCTATGATTTAAAAATTTTATTACAAAATTTAATATGAAAACCTAAGAAGACCTAGCTGAGTAATAAAATTGATAGGAACTATCTTAAACATTCAAAATACTCCTTTATAATAAGAATCAATAAATTACATAGGCAATAAAAGACATGAAATTTGTTTACAACAATCAAAAACACTTGATGAACAAAGGGATTAAGTTGAGTATGTTTAATAAGGAAAGCTAATATCTAATGCACTTGCTTTCTCTTAGAAATAAAATGATTCTGAATTAAAATAAGGACGCAATACAAAAACACATTACCTAAAATGATTTCGAGATGAAACCTTAGAAATTTTATTTGAAAGCTATCAACTTAAAGAATTTAGTGAATGAGAACTAATAATAGGTGTGTTTAACTAAGGAATATTCAAAATGGAAATCTTATGTATTAAAATAAATCAAAGTTGTTAAAATTGATTAATTTTTATGCATGAATAACCCATTTAATTAAATCACTCTATTTCAAGATAAAGCACAACAAAAGTATGATCTGACTTAACATAAATTATTTTTAAACATTAACTAAATTAGGAACAAAAAATTTTGTATTAAACTAAAGAAGAATCAATTTTGAGATTTAAATTTAGTAGTTGTGATCAGATTATGTGAATAGAATATAAAACATTTCATATTGTAACAAAGATAATCGAAATAATGTTGTTAGAACATGTCCTATTTGCAGAACGACATATATAATAGAAGTCAATTAAAATAAGTTAATTAATTTCAATAATTATAAATTTGCTGTATGGCTATAATCTTGATTATTGAATATCTATTGTTGAGATGCGATTTATAAGTCAAGACTAAATTAGTAAATATAAAAAGGGATTTTTTTCTATATTAGTGCAAAATATATATATATTTATATTATAAATAATAGTTTTCGAAATAATAATTGATGTTGAATTTACTATTCATTTTAGTGATCTCTACTTGTAGTGCAGCTAATAATTCGTCTGTGTGTTTAGATAAACTCAAAGAATTGATTGAATTACCTTTTGATGAATTCCTTGAAACCATCTTACCTTATTATTAATTATCAGGGGATTGGGTAGGCAAGTTTGGATACTATGATAGATGCTATAGAAAGGACCACTCTTATACGTCAGTCGAAATTGATTAGCAACTCTACAAATAATATTATGGATTTTGTCATTCTAATAAGTGTTCAGCCAAAGACTTTAATTCCAAGGATGGATAAGAAAATATAAAAAAAATATTGAATGACAGTGGAATTGCAAACCTAATCAATGTAAATTAATACTCTCAATGTAGATTGATCCAGATACAATAACATTAAACTTCTATGATCCTTAAACTTATTTTCCAAATATAGGTTGGGAAACCTATGTTACGTCAGGAATATTATTAATCCTATTTATCATGATAATTATTGATCCAATCTTGAGGTTTATAACAGCATGTTAAAACAAGCATACTCCAGATGTTAGAGATCGAAGATCTTCTAGTTTGCAGAGTCCATACGGACTTCGAGAAGGTTTACAGGATAAGAGTCAATATTAACCAACATCTATCATTAAAGATTTCTCAATCATTATGAATTACAATAAAATAATCAATCTAAAAACAATAGATCCTAATCTAACCATTTTTAATGGGATCAGAGCTATTTCATTTATGATGGTTGCTTATGGGCATGTTAATGAAATGACTGCAATTTCAACATATATTACTGAGGCTAATTTGCAATATAAGTCCTGGGTTATTATCTTACTATATGATATGATGTATGCCGTAGATATCTTCTTTTGGGTTGGTGGATTCTTTCTAGGTTATGTGATGTGTGAGGAACGAAAAGCAAAAACACTACACTAAAAACCATTATCAATATTCTTAAGTATTACTCATCGATTAATGAGAATTTGGCCATGTTATTTATTATGTATTGCAATAAATTCATACATAATCCCATATTTGGGAAGTGGGCCTCGATGGTTTTTAGAAGAGAGAGCAACATAATGTCCAGGAGGAGCATGGAAGAATGCCTTATTTATAGATAATTTTTATGAAGATTGGCAACTATGTTTCAGTTGGGGTTGGTATTTAACATGTGATTTTCAATTATTTTTAACATGTCTAATACCAATCCTAATATATTGCTTTGATTACAAGGTTTTTTCAAAAATACTAATTATGTTGATGATTATTGGTACTTTAGGATGGGCTTATTATCTTAGTGTTAATTATGATTTTCTAATACCAGGTCGAAATACTTATAATCCAAATTATTATTACAAATTCTATGTTAGTTCTTATGCTAGAGCACCTCCTTACTTTTTAGGTTTGTTGATTGGGATACTTTATAGAGAATTCAAGCAATCAAAAAAAAGTGGATAAGCTACATATTTGCAGTAATTTAGAGATTATGCTCAAAGAAATGGATAGAGATTGATAATGCAATTGTGCTGTTATGGATTGGGATTCGGGATAATGTCATATCTGTTTTTTGGATGGAAAAAAGAGTTCAATCAGATTGAAATGAGTTGGCCAAAATGGTACTAGCATATTTATCATGCTTTTTGTAGATTTTTATTTACTTTCGGATTGACATTGATTGTTCTACCCAATTTAGTTGGGGCATATGATTTGTATATATAATATTCTTATTGTAGATTAAATTCTAAATTTATGAATAACACTTTATTTAAATTTATGGCCAAAATCTCTTTTACTATGTATTTGGTGCATCTAATGATAATTTTAATTTTGACTGAGACATTCTATGAGACTCCGTCCTTTGCCCAATTAGATTTATTAACTTGTTTTGTTTGTGCAGTGGTTCTTTCGATTGTTTTTGGATTGTTTTTATCGCTTATGGTGGAGTTGCCATTTGGGAATCTGGACACGAGATTAATAAAAATTATGATGAGACCAAAAAGGAAGGTGGATACTTTATTAGATTGATTTATTTTTGATGAATATATTTATTAATATTGAAAAATTTATTGCGTTAATTTTTTTATATAAAATGAGATTGAAAAAAATCAAAAAAATCAGAGTGGTCTTTTTATTTTTGATTTTGATAATGATCATATTGGAGTCCTTAATGGATACGATATGCGTAATTAGGGAGGAGGCTCATTTAACATTATATATTCTCGATATTGTTCTATATGTGCTCATTGTTTTTGTAGAAGCACTGCAAATAGATTACTTAGTATAGGTAATAAAAAAGTAGAAACATCCACACATAAGAGGGAACATAAAATTATATGAAGCCTTTGTGTCTTTATCGATGCTATTTCTATTAAATCACATATGTTTCCAAAGTTATTTTATGTATATTAATCGTGGAATATAAGAATGTTACTATCTATCCTCGGAAGGAGATAGAAAATGGTTGATATTTTTGTTTACTTTATTCATTGAATTATTAGTCTTCATAGATTTGCTAATAGTTTGTATTTAAGTTTGTAGAATAATTAAAAAGGATACAATTAGAAGTTCCAGTTTTTTGGTGCTCCATAAGTACCTAGAGGATTATTTGGCATAGGAGCGAGGATCAAAATAACCTATCAGCTATTCGGTTGAATCCTTGGGAAACTTCTGAATGTTTTTGTATTTATATATTTTATACAAATAATCAAATTTTCTATGGTCGCTTTCCACAAGAATGATAATTGGAATTAATAGGTTGAATTGCAGAGAGATTTCACAGAATTGGTAATGAAATTGAGTTTCCAAAAAAAACGGAACTTGTTTATATTAAATTAGTCTTTATTATTTATTATTATTATTTATTGATTCAAATGAAGAAGTTATCAGTTTACTTCTTATTGATATTGATGATTGCCATGACATGTAATAGTTGTTTAACCAAATTAGTTTAAGAGCAAATTAAACTTGGAAGCTATGTTCAAATGCATGATCTAGAAAAAGTGGGTTCAATGGAGTTCACCAATCTAAATTGTGACTAAGACTTACTTAAATTGCAGCAATCCTTACAAACTTGGATAGAAATATTAAAAAATAAAGATTATTTAGAGGATGATGTGAATAATCTATCAGCATTGAAACTCGTTATTGCAAATATAAAAAACAATCAGAATCCAGAATTGCCAAGTATATAATACCTAATAATACAGAACTCTTCTAATACAAGCAATCCTATGTTGAACTAGTAAATTCAATCGGTTCAACTGAACAAACAGCATTTGATTAATGGAGACAAGAAGGACCATACAAGCTAATTCAATCAATCAATCTCATTGAACAAGCTGAGTCATCCTAAGATATCCTGGAGTATTGCACTCAACTTGATTCGATGATCAATCTTCTCATTAATGAGAGAGAAGAATTAAAGCAACAAATTAACACATCACAAGTAACAATTATACAATTCACCATAGTTGGTAGTTGACTAACTGGAGCAAAAGTCAAAGGAAGTGTAACAAGCACTTGAGCAATGCAAATTACAATCATAATAAAAGCCATAAGTCAATCAGCCAGAAATCTAGTAGCCAATTAAAATTGAAGACAACGGATTAATACATGAGTCATCTGTGGATCAGGAGAAACCAGTATTTGAAAACACTATAGAAAAAGAGTAAGAGTTCATAGAATATGGGTATGGATATTGGTCAAGATTTTTGACTCTCTATCCAAAACGATTAGAAAATGGAAAGGATGCACCTTGGTATTTTTTAAGTAGATTAACTTCAAATAAAAATTATTAAAATATTGCTATGAATGACAGACTATTGGCAATATGGTTAGGCTAGGGATTCTATCATTTCACTACATGTGATGAAATATAGAATCAACCCAATGTAGTTTAAAATATCAATCATCATGATGACATTGAAGGGTAATGGACTTATATTTATTATTCATACAATTCTGTTTCAAAATAAGCAGTTGCAATTATTCAATATGGTCAAGAATAACCATAATAAATTACTCACAATGTTCTACATACAAAGTCTAAATACTTAAGATTCCTAGTTGGTGGTAAAGACAATAATTAATATCCTGGATTCAATGGGTAATTTTCATCAATATTCTTATCAACAAATCCTGGTGTCTTTATTTCTACTATTGCTAAATTTAACGAATCATTCAAGTCAGTGAAATTACCAACTCAAGATTTTGAATCCATATTTAGAGTTTAATTGATAGATTAAGAAGTCACTAGAAATCCTTCCCTTGAAGGAGATTACATGGCAGTTGGAGGAGGAACAAAGAAGTTTCCTCTTGAGTATTCAATTAGTGGTTGGTTCAAATGGGAAGAGATTGTTTAATAAGTGTGGCATTCAGTCTTTAGAGTGCAAATAAACAAACCATCAACCGATAAGTTTCTTGGAGACAGAACATTGTGTATGTTCATAGGAACAGCATAAGGAGGAATATTCCATTTTCCTACTTATTCATATTAAAACATGAAGGGAGAGGGAACTTCCAATTTAGTCAATAACATTCATCACAACAACAAACATCTGGATTGGTTTTTTGTGTATTTTGGCTATTCAAAGAAACTAAAAAAGGCATTTGTATAAGTAAGATTGTCAACTGGAATCGAAACCTTAGAATACAATGATGTTAACCATTATTATACACCTCAATTCCATACTTATGTCGGAAAAGATGAGCATTTTCCAGGCTTCAATGGTAAAATAGCATATGTAAATTTTGTTCTTGGGTCTGGCTCTTATAGAAATAAACCAGATTTCATTATAAAGGATGACTTATTTGGTTATGAAGTTGGAGACACTAATCTCATAAAAAAAGTCTAGAAAGTGAATGAATAGAAAATACCAGCTGATGATGTTAAATTAGAAGAGCCCATCAAACCTGAAGAAGTGAAACCAGCATTCTATGATAACGAAGATAGGGAAGTATCTTTTGAATCTACGGCACCTGTGCTTGAAAAAGAATATGAAGATTGTCCCTAAGTTTATGGGTATGGATTTTGGCTTAGATTTATGCATGCTTATCCTAAGAGGCTACTGTAGGGTAAGAACGCCCCTTGGTATTTCATTTCTCGATTGACATCTAATAGAAAATATGATAATGTGTAAATGGGAGATAGACTACTAGCTATATGGTTGGGACAATCATTCTATCATTTCACCACTTGTGATACACAAAAGAACGAAGCCAATATAATATCAAATATTGATTATCCAGCAGATATTGAGGGTGTTTGGACCTATATACATTATTCATATAGTAAATAAACTCAGATGGCTAATTCATTTATAAGATATTCATAATCTGATATTTAATCCTCAAGTGTCTAAGTTTAACATCCTGACGTTGATTATTTGAAGTTCATTTTTGGAGGAAATGATTAAAATAGATATCCAGGATTCAATGGATTCATATCTAAAATTATGATTACCATTTCTAAAGATAACTTTCTTTCAACCAAAGACGAATTCATAACATTTGTTTCTAAATTAGAACAACCTAAGATTGGTCTCACTGATTTCACTACCTATTAATTGATTGAGAATGAAACTCAGCGATAAGATTCTGATGAATCTCTTGTTAAAACCTTAAATGATAACAAATAGAGATTCCCTCAGGAATATGCCATGAGTGGTTGGTTTAAATGGATTGGACCTTAGAGAACTCCATGGCATAATATTTTTAGAGTCTAAATCCAAACACCTTCTACAGATATTTATTTGGGAGATAGGACTTTAAGCATGTGGCTCGGTTCAATTGAAGGAGGGGTCTTACACTTCCCAACTTATACATATGATAATACTAATTCCAAGGGCAATCCTAACTATTATAAAAATATCAAACACAATCAAAGACATTTGGAATGGTTTTATGTGTATTTTGGATACTAGAAGTCAACTAAACTAGCATATGTTTAAGTAGCTTGGCCTAAAGACACTCAAGATATATTGTATTAAAATATCAACCATTATTTGACTCCTTCCTTTTACATTTTCGTGGGAAAAGATAACTTTTACCCAGGACTATCAGGCAAGTTAGCATATGTCTATTTCAGCCTTGGTAATGGATCATTTAAAATGAAAAATGAAATTACAGATGTCGTTGAGTCTTATTTGAAAGGAAATGTGGTTATAAAACCATAGATTTCTAATTCTTAAAAAAAAGAATAAGAACAATCTACTTAAGAAATTAAATAGGTTAATTCAGATATTAAAGTAGTTAATCAAGAAGTTAAATAAGTTAATTAAGAAATTAAACAAACTAATTAAGAAGAGAAATAAACTACTTAAGAAACTAAATCAGTTAATCAAGAAATTAGATAAAATAATTCAGAAACTCAACAAATTAATTAAGAAACTAAATCAGTTATTTCAGAAACTAAATCAACTAATCAAGAAACTCAGTAAGTTAATCAAGAAACTAAATAAACTAATTAAGAAGTGAAATAAACTACTTAAGAGACTAAGTAGATTAATTAAGAAACGAAATAAACTAATCAAGAAACTAGAGAAGTTAGTTAAGAAACTAAATAAGTAAATTAAGAGATCAAATAAACTACTTAAGAAAATAAGCAAGTTAATCAAGAAGTTAAATAAGAAACATAATAAGTCAATTAACAAACTAAATAAGTGAGTTAAGAGACATAACAAACCAATTAAGAAACTAGATAAACTACTTAAGAAGTTAAATAAACTAACTAAGAATCTAAATAAGTTAATTAAGAAGTGAAATAAACGACTTAGGAAACTAAATAAACTAATGAATAAACTAAATAAACTAATGAATAAATTAAATAATCTAATGAATAAATTAAATAAGCTACTTAAGAAACGAAATAAATTACCTAAGAAATTAAATAAGTTGATTAGAAATAATAAACAGCTGTTCCTTATGATCATGATACTATTAAAGAAGGCTATTCAGATACACCAGGATTAAAACCTGGAAAGATTGATCAATCAGAATAGTAAGAATGTTAAGAATAAACAAATGACAAAGATACTCCCCTTGATCGACCAATTGAAAAGAAGTCTGTAAGTCGTACAGTTTAACAGTAAGAATAAACGTCAGAAGAAGCTTAAGCAATCATTATAGATTCCAAAGTTGATTAAAGTTTAAGTAATTCTGAATAAAACTAAGAAATAATTAAGAAAGTAGATTAAAAAGTTGAGTCAAGTCAAAATAATGCTTAAGAAACTGAATAAGTTACTTCAAAGGTAACTGAAACTACTTCCTAAACTAACTCAATAACTTAGTAAACAAATGATTAATCTTCTATTACAAATAAATAAACCTAATAAACCAATGAGACTATTTAATAAAATAATAAAACAATATAGGAAACAAATGAATCCATTTCTTAAAATAATAAAACAGTTTAAGAAACAAATGAAACCACTTAATAAAACAATAAGACAATTTAAGAAACAAATGAGACTGTGTAATAAGTTAATAAAGCATAATAAGAAACAAGTTAATCTACTTAATAAACTACTTAATAAACAACTTAATAAACTACTTAATAAACAACTTAATAATCTACTTAATCAACACAATAATCCAATTCATAAACAACTGAATCAACATCAACTTAAACAAACTAAGAAATCAATTAGACTTCTTAATAAACTGATAAAACTACCTCAGAAATAAACGAATAATCATAAGAATAACATGATTTCAAAATTATTGATCATAAAAACGAAGAAACAATTGATTAATAAACTATAGATATGCCAACATAAGAGGATGACTATTGTGTTTAAGATTAAGATGATGAATTAGAGGATGTTAAGGAAATTAAGATTATTCCAGGATAAACCTATGAAAATTAAATATCAAATGACAAAGAAGGAAAAAATCCCATAGTTGACTAAGGAATAACTGTGGCAAATAATTATCAAGAATATGGTTATGGTTTTTGGATGAGATTCTTAACATTATACCCTAAAGAGCTAATCAAAGGAAAGGATGCTCCTTGGTACTTCATAAGTAGATTGACAAGAAATAAAAATTACGAAAATATTAAGTTGGGTGATAGAGTATTAGCAATATGGTAAGGAGCAGGATTTTACCATTTCACTACTTATGATACTGATGGATTAAAGCCTAATGTTCTATTAAATATTGATTATCCAAATGATATTGAGGGTGTGTGGACGTACATTTATTATTCGTACAGTACAGAACTTGAATAGGCTGTTGGACATATAAAATTTGGAAATTAAAAATTCACCACTATAAAGTAAAATGTGAAGCATGCTCCAACCACCTATTTGAGATTCATTTTAGGAGGTAACGACTAGAATAGATTTCCAAGTTTCAACGGAATTTTCACTAAAATAACTTTTGGCATAAAAAAGGGAACTTTTCTTCAGACATCAGAGTAGCTAATAATGAAATTAAATATTCATGAAGTGCCTTAGTAAATTGGGGAAGTAGCATAGAGTGTGAGGATAGTAGAAAACTAGGAAGCAAGAACTTCAGAGAATATGTATGAATATAAGGAAATAAAGAATAAGAAAGTTAAGTTTCCCTCAGAATATGCGTTGAGTGGATGGTTCAAATGGTCTACATTGATGGAAAAGGAATGGCATAACTTATTCAGAATATAGATTAGAAAGGAATCCACGGATAGTTTCTTGGGAGACAGAACATTATCATGTTGGATTGGAAAGACATAAGGTGGTGTGTATCAATTTCCCACTTACACGTACACGAATATGATTGGTAACGGAAATGCAAACTTATATAAAAATATCAATTTAAAGGATAGACATACAAAATGGCATTTCATCTATTTTGGATATTCAAAGATCAAGAGTTAGGCCAACGCTTATGTAAAATGGTAAGAGGATGAAGATTAAATATTGTATGAGAATGTGAATCATTATTATGTCAAAAGATTATATGCATATGTTGGAAAGGATAAGTTTTACCCAGGGTTGAATGGTAAGATGGCATATGTGGTTGTGAATTTTGGATTGGGTGCTTATAAGAATCAGAGGTAATTTGATGAAGAGATTTTCAATTTCAATTTGGGAGTGAGAGAATTGATTAAACGTACTTAGGATGTGTAATTTTAACCATCAATAAGCTAAGAAAAAATGGAGTAGAGTGGATTTGATTCAGATTAGGCTAGTTTTGAACAGGAGGAAAATGGTGAGAGACCATTTATGTAATATGGTTATGGTTATTGGATGAGATTTTTGACACTCTATCCAAAGAAACTATTGAATGGTAAGACTGCACCTTGGTATTTTGTGTCAAGAATGACATGGAATAAGAATTACAATGATATAAATATGGGGGATAGAGCTTTGGCAGTATTCTTGGGAAAAGGATTCTATTAGTTTTCTACTTGTAATTTGATTACTAAGAACACAAATCAAGAGTAGAGAATTACTCACCCAGATGATATCGAAGGAGTCTGGACATTTGTCTATTATTCATATAATAAGGAATTAGGGAAGGCTGTTGGATTTATGAGATTTGGAAATGGCAAGTTTTAATAGATTTAGCATACACAGGTTACACATTAAGATACTAAATATTTAAAATTAATTGTAGGTGGAACTGATAAAAGAAGATATCCTGGATTCAATGGTCAATTTGCTAAGATATCATTCTCATCAAAAGAAGGATCTTTTGTGGATTAGGAGAAGGTTCTGAAATCTTATACACTTGAGAAAAGAGTACAGAAAATTGTAACAATGAATGTGTTGGGAGATTAATAGTAGAGGAAAACAGGGGATGAAGGAGTTTTTGCTCAAAGTGATAAAGTGGATTTGCCAACCGAATATGCTATTAGTGGTTGGTTCAAATGGCTATAGGTGGATAAATAGGAACCTTAGCATAGCATGTTCAAAGTGACAATCAGAAATCCTTCAGATGATCACTTAGGAGATAAAACCTTAGTGGGTTATGTAGGAACAAATGAGATTTAGTTTTCTACTTATAGTTTCGAGAACATGGATGGAAGTGGTAATAAAGATCTACAAAGAAGGATCGAGCATAAGAATAGGCATTACAGATGGTTCTTTGTTTATTTTGGATATTAACATGAGACATCAACATGTCATGTCCATATTTAATGGTCGGATGAGATGTCTTAGTAGGGATTCGTACACATTAATCATTATTTGACAAATCAATTTTACATCTATGTTGGTAAAGAACCTCTTGTTGCTGGGTTCAATGGATTGATTACATAGGTCAAATTCAATATGGGTGAAGGAGCATTCAAATAAAGTACTGATTATAAGGATCAGGACAATATATTTGGTTTTGATTTATAAACAATTAGGAAGGAAGTTAAAACATTTGATATCACTAAATCTAAGGAGAAAATTATGATAGACTCAAATAGTGATGAGGAATCTAATTATCTGAAAGTGTTCAATAAAGATGAGTTGGATGAGGTCTTTGAATATGGATATGGGTTTTGGTTAAGATATCTAAGGAATTATCCAAAAGTGTAAATTGAAGGATTAAAGTAGGATTGGAGTTTCATCAGTAGATTGACTAAGAATGATGTTTTGCAAGATCTTACATTAGGAGACAGAACACTGGCAATTTGGTTGGGCAAAGGGTTCTATCATTTTACTACTTACAATTAGTAAATCTCTAATATCTTCACCAATGTGAATCACCCTGCAGATATCGAAGGTTTATGGACATTCATTCATTACTCACACAATCTTAATAAGGAATAGAGTGTATCTTTCATTTAATTTGGTAATGATAAGCCAGTAAGGTCAGTGTAATAGAGTGTTCAAGTGATACCAACTATTTTGAAGTTCTATTTGGGAGGTCGACACTTGACTTACAAGGGATTTAATGGATAGATAAGTGGGGCCTATGTTAGTGTGAATAAAGGCATTTATATTGATAATGAGGAGAAGTTCCAAGATTTATTAAAATCTATTCCTCAACCTACAACATACAGAGCAGAACTGATTCAAAACTTGTTGGTGGAGAAAAGCACAAGATTTGAGATGAATTCAGAAGCGAAGCAATTTGAGTTTGAGAATTAGAAATTCAGTGGAGAATACTCTTGGAGTGGTTGGTTCAAATGGTCGAGTGTCATTTAAAATGCATGGCATTTGGCTGTTAGGTTGTCTACACTTGAGAATTATGAAAATAAAAATAGTTTGGGAGACAGAACATTATGTTTATGGATAGGATAGTAAGCAGGTGGAATCCTTTATTTCTCTACTTACACTTACACAGATTTATATGGATCGGGAAATCCAAACAGTGTTTAAAATGTTCAATACAAGGATGATATTGCAAAATGGCATTTTATTTATTTTGGATATTCAAGAGTTTAATAGTTGGCTTATGGTAAAGTTGAGTTTGGGTATAGAAAAGAATAAGTCAATTTTGAGCATCACCATCATTATTTACCAAACAAATTCTTTTTGTCAGTAGGCAAAGACAAATGGCATGATCCTTATTTAGGCAATATAGCTTATTTGAGATTCCAATCAGGATAAGGAGCATTTTATTAAGGAGAATTCAAAGAAGTCAAAGATGACTTATTTGGTAATAAATTAGGATCAATGGAATTATTGAAATCTAAGATTAAATTCGATATTGATAAGGATGCTATCACTAAAATGTTTGCATCTCCATAAGTGGACTAAAAGGAACCAATATTCTCTAAAATATTTAATGAAGAAGAATTGGACAATGTATCTGAATATGGATATGGATTTTGGTGTAGATTTTTAACTAGATATCCAACCTAACTTATTGAGGGATTAAAAGCAGATTGGTCATTCATATCAAGATTGACTAAAAATTAAAATAAAGGGGACATGAATTATGGCGATAGAACTTTGGCCATTTGGTTGGGTAAGGGATTCTATCATTTCACAACTTACTCCCACAAATATGCAAATGTAGTTCATAATATTGATCATCCTGCAGATATTGAAGGATTATGGACATTTATCTATTTTTCACATAATCTATACAAAAAAGAAAGTGTAGCCATGATTAAATTTGGAGAAGGCAAAGTAATCAAGGGAGTGATTCCAGCTATTCATTAAGCTCCAGCCTTCTTGTAATTATATGTAGGTGGTAATAATATGAAATATGCTGCCTATAATGGGTAATTTGCAGGTATACTGTTTTCGATTGGAGAAGGAATCTTCTTGTCTGATGAGTCAGATTTGATAAAAATTATTAGATAAATTGAAAAAAGCCAAATGATTATAGTTTGGAAGTTGACTACTAAAGATATGATTGCAAAACCCAAGTAATCCTTTGTTGCTTAGGAGACAGTATTTGATGATGTTCCATTGGTTGGACAATATTCTTGGAGTGGTTGGTTTAAATGGAAATAGATGGGATAGCAATTCCCTTGGTATCTAATGGTTAGATTAGCAATAATTAGGAATACTAGTGACATCAAATTATTGGGAGATAGAACCTTAATGGCATTTATGGGTCAAGGATACATTCACTTTACAACTTACACCTATAAAAATATATATGGAGATGGTACACCAAATATTTGGTAGAACATAAATCACGACGGAGAACACGTTTAGTGGCATTTTGTATATTTTGGTTATTCAAGAGCGTAAAAATTGGCTTACGGAAAAATCTATTTTGATGATAGGGTTGAGTCTGTTTCATTCAAGGATACTAATCATTTCGTTCCAAATTTGTTTGCTTTAACAATAGGAAAGGATAAATGGTTTAATTAATATAATGGAGATATCGGATACTTTAGATTCAATGCAGGAGAAGGTGCTTTCTAAATGGAAAATCACGACAAAGCTTAGAATGATGTATTTGCTTTCAAAATTGGAAGAATTTCAACTATCAATCCAAATAAGCCTCCTCCTGAGGAAGTCAGAAAGCAAGAGTATTTTGACAATTCTTTGGATAGCGAAACAGTCTATACATTTGAGATATCAAAAGATATTTATGAGTAAGGTTCATATTCACATGTTCCTGAAATAATTGGAGGAAGGGGAGAGATTACTAAGAATGACGAGTAAATTGAGGAGGAGAAAAAAGCAATTGAGAGATAAGAGTAGTAATTGAAGAAAGAAGCCGAGAAGTTTTAGAATGAAAAATCAGTTGGAATCATTGAAAATCATTATTAGTTCCCAGATTAGGATAAATAAAGAGTGATATCAGATGAGGCAGTCGATATTGTTAAAACTAATTCAGAATATCCAAAGAAAGATGGAGATCCATCAAATAAATCATAATAGTAGTAGCAGGAATACAAATCAGATTGGGATGGATTAAGGTTCTATGGATATGGATTCTATTTGAGATATCTTACTATGTATCCTCAATAATTGAGAGATGGTAAAAATGCTCCTTATTATTTCGTATCACGATTAACTTGGAATCCTTAGCCTCAAGATATTGGTATGGGAGATAGAGTGCTAAGCATATTCTAAGGATAAGGATCTTACAGTTTCCATACTCTAGACAGACCATCCAATAATCCTAACTTAAGAACAATTATTCCATATGGTGATATAGATGGAGTTTGGACATTTGTCTATTTCAGTTACTCTCAAGTCGATAAGAAGGCTGTGGCATTTATCAAGTATGACGACAGTGCTGAAATATACAGAAGGGACATTGTTTGTAATCATGGGGATGTTGAATATTTAAAGCTGATACTTGGAGGAAAACAAGGGATATATTAAGGATTCAATGGTTAAATTGCCAATTATGCATTTAAGTATGGCAAGGGAGCGTATATAAATGATTTTGAGTTGTACAAAAGGATTCTATCAAATCGAATTCCTCATCCTGTGGCTGATGATTATAAATTCAATCAAATCAAAATTATTGAAACTTAAGCTGGTTTCAAAGGAGATGAATAAACTGATAGTATTAAAGAAATAGAGAGTCACTTCTAAAACGAATATGCCATAAGTGGATGGTTGAGATGGGATTAACCAATTGGAGTCCCATACTTTGCTCTTTTTAGGTTGAGTGGATTTAAAGTAGAAGATAACAACGATTCTAAATTAGGAGATAGAGACATGATGCTATTCAAACATACCTAATATTACATATTCTAGTCTTACAATTATCATAATTTGAATGGAGGAGGAGACTTTGCTATTAGTTGGCAAGTGAATCATCAAGAATGGGAGTAATTCTGGCACTTTTTCTATATTGGCTATAAACGAGAGAGCAAACAACTCTATTATTATGTCTCATTCATTGATGACGAATTCGATCAAGTGCATAATAACATCCATCATTACATCGTTCATAAACACTATCTCCAATTCGGTAGAGACTACAGTAAATTCTACAGCAAACATAGAGGATTCACAGGATAAGCAACTCAAGTCTTATTGAGTTATGGCAAAGGATCTTTCCAAACCAAACCCTTTAATAATGATATCTTCATGTATCTGAAAGGAGTCAAAGAACTCTTCTCCTCTCTAGAATTAATCACAAGAGAGAGTGATCGAAATAAATTGTTGATTGGTGATGCCAACAAGCAAGGCACTCTAATGGATCTAGAAATTAATGATGGTACTGATTATAACATTAGAGGATTGAATGAGTATGGATGGGCCTTATGGTGCCGATGGTCTAGGACATTAACTCGCCCTATTCAATATAAAGATGCTTGGTACTCACTTGCTAGAATTGCCAACAGGAAAGGACATCAAGATCTATAAGTCCCAGGAGATAGAACCTTAGCCACATGGATAGGCATGGGATTCTATCTCTTCAGTACCTACACCAGAGGAGTCTTACAATTGACTGAATCAATTCCTTATGGAAAATTTGAAGGATAATGGAATTTTATTGTGTTTTCCTATCGTAAAAATTTGGCCAAGGCTAGTGTTTTGTTTGGACAAGACTCCACCATTGTAGAGAAAGAGTTTAAGGTCAAGCACAACATGATTAAGGATTATTTAAGGTTCGTTGTGGGTTCAGAGTTTGGCTATAAATTCTTTAATGGCCATGTAGTAAATATCTAACTTAGAATGGGTAGCGGAGCTTATCTAAGCAAGGAAGAAATAGTGATCATTGCTAATGGAGAGTTGGGATTACCTGCAGAATCCAAATATGATTAGACTAGAAAATCTATTGAAATTGTGAAGGATCGAATTCCTAATTCTGGGCAAGGCAGAGAATTCGATATTAAAGAAGATGTTGCTTAAGGGAAATTGGAGTATTCAATATCTGGATGGGCCAAATGGGTGGATATCCCAGCCATTTAACCTTTGTATATGTTATATCGTGTGGCATATTATGATTACAATGAGTTGTTGAATTTGCAAATCCCAGGATCAAGAGTCTTTTAGTGTCATAAGGCTTATGGATACTATCATTTTAATACATATACAGTGGATTAGGAGAATGGAGGAGCATGGTAAATCGTGAAGAATGTTGATTACGACATAACGTAACATAAAAATTGGGTATTTTTCTATCAAGGCTATTCTCATTAAAAGCAGTAGGTTCATCTTTATATAAAATTCCCAGGATTCGAAGAACATTATACCTTTATTAACATTAATCATTTTATTCCTCAGAGATTTAAGGTTCATTTTCTATTGGATAGATGGAATCCAGGATTTAATGGGTTCCTTGAGAGTTGGTACTTTAATGTGGGTTCTGGATCTTATAAGGAAAGTGGATATGGCATAGGTGAAAATACAGAAACTACATTCGGATTTGGATTGCATAAACCAGCTCAACCCAAGAATTGGCAATTTAATGATAATTATGCTTGTGGATTTACATAATAAAATGTAGGTTAAGAAGTGGAATATAAGGATGATCTACAAATAGATGGATTAGTTGAATATGGCTATGGTATGTGGACTAGGTTTGCCTGGAACACTCCAATTAAGATGATCAATAAACCAACATGGACGGCATTATCAAGATTGACAGTTAACCCAAATTATTAAGGAGATGCTGGTTAATTGGGAGACAGAGCTTTGGCTATATGGGTTGGACCTGGATACTATCATTTTACAACTTCAACTAGAGGAAATTACAATGTAGTACATAACATAGAATATAATCAAATGTTGGATGGATAATGGAATTACATTTGGTTTGGATATAAACGAATAAATGATAAGTTGGGCACTGCCATTGGATATGTTGCTTTTGATGGTCATTTAATTAGAAAGACTAATTTGGGTAATATTCTTTAGTAACCATTAAATGACTACTTATATTTAGCAGTAGGAAGCTCAGGAAGATACTTTTTAGATAGGTATCATCAATTTAATGGTCACATTTAAAAAGTCTCTTTGATATTGGGACCTGGAGGTTTCTTTGAAAATGAAGATCTATTGAGAAAGTAGATCCCATCTAAACCAGAATTTTTGAGAAATCAAAAGCAATTTTCTAAAATAGTAATAGATGAGATGAAAAATATGAAAAGAGAAGAATGGGTACCTGCACCTGTTGAATTCGCTGAAGAGTTCGACGGGGCTTATGAATATTCAGTGTCACTGTGGTTCAAATGGACTAAAACGTATAGAGTGGCATGGGAAAACATATTCTCTGTGTCTTATAATGAATAAAACATTAGAGCTAATCATGCTAAACCAGGAGACAGAGTCTTATCTATGTTCTAATATGCAGATCACAGAATATTCTTTAGTACATATACAACACCTGGTAATCATGATTAATTTGCTCATTTATACACTGAATGTCCAGTAGATATCCCATCATAATCTGAATGGGTCTATGGCTATTATGGTTATAGCAGGGATCAAAATAAAGTGATATCCTATTTACAAACTAAAACATAGAAATGCTTAAAGGCCTTATCTTGTATGCATAGAGTACCTAAATATATGGGATTATATGTAGGCAAAGATGGAATTCATACTCCTTACAATGGTAAATTCAGCAAATTGTATTTTATGGGTCATGCTGGATCCTACATTGAAGGAAATTTCTAATCTTTTGGACCTTTTGCTGCTGGTGGAATATCAATAACAAAGCCAGCCTATTTCTGGAGTGACTGGAAGGAAAGATTTGAGATTGCTTATGATTAAAATAAAGTAATTGAATTAAAAGCAGAAGAAGTTGATGAATAAACTTCATATAGCATAGGCATGTGGACGAAATATTTCACTGCTATTCCAAAAAGATTGCTTCAAAAACCAGATTGGCTTCATCTTGCTAGATTAACAATCAATCCTAATCATAAAAATTATGAAAATGTTGGAGATAGAACTTTGGCCCTTTTTATTGGAAGATCATACTATGGGTTCTTTACTTATAACTCTGCTAATAACAATCCGAATATTGTGTAAAATATTAGATACGATGATAATTTTGAGGGTGAATGGAACTTCATCTATTTCTCTTATAATTCTGAATTACAGTTGGCAACTGGCTTTGTAAAATTCAGTAAACTCGATAAGATTTAAAGAATTCAATTCAGAGACATTTAACATAAACCTATTGATAACTATGCAAAATTGGTGATTGGAAGTGAGTTCTAATATCAAGGATTTAATGGATAAATAGCCAGTCTATAGCTAGGATTTGGCAAGAAATTCTATGTTCATGATTCAGATGCACTAAATAAAATAATTCTGGAATTCTTCAAGCCTCCTGGAGAAGATGAGGACGATAACAGAAAAGTCAATATTGTAGAGGAGGTGAAAGAAAGAGCATTCAATAATGGACCTGAATACAGAGAAATCTTAGATTAGAAAGGTGCAGAGGAGTATGCCATGTATGGATGGTTTAGATATACAAGCACAGCATTGAAGACACCCAATAATTGTATAATGAGATTAACAAATAATGAATAAGGTTATAGAGGTGAAATAAGTAGAGTTGGAGATAGAACATTATTAGTAATGTTGTAGCCAGGTGAATATGTATTTGCAACTTATTCACTTGGTAATATTGATAACGGGTAAATTGTGAATATTCGAAAGCCAACTCCCTATAAAACTAATCTAGGTCTTTGGACTTACATTTACTTTGGTTATCACTTTTAAAAAAGAAAAGCATCAGGAATCATCAAATATCCAAGTGGTTATGCTTTAGTTCCATACGATAATGTATTACACATGGTTCCAAATTATTTATTATTCTTCTTCGGTGGAGATGGAATGCTTGGAGGATGGCACGGTTAGATGCAGAAGGTGAACTTGTTATTTGGCAGAGGATCTTTCGTTGATTCTACTAAAGGAAACTTTGCAGAGAAATTGCCAAATCTCTAGGGAGTGGAATCTAAGCCTTTGATTTGGGATGGAATAGACAATAAAATAATAGAAGTGCCATTACCTGACAGACCAGCATTAGATATTGTATTTAATAAAGAGGTAAATGGATTCATCGAATATGGATATGGATTGTGGACTAGATGGTTGACTACTATTCCAAAGAGAATTGTAGAAAAAGCTCCATTTCACTAATTGATTAGATTATGCAGTACAGAGTAATACGAGGATGCTGCATAATTTGGAAATAGAGTTTTGGCTATTTGGGTGGGTAAAGGTTATTATCACTTTACAACTTACAATAAGATTGGAAATAAGATCTCCACTTCTTAGAATATCAATTATGATGACAATTTAGAAGGAGAATGGAATTACATTTACTACTCTTTCTCTAATAAGTAATAAGCAAGAGCTGTTGGATTTGTATATTTCAGTGAGTAATCAGGTACAGCTATCTCTCGAGTTGAGTTTTTAAATTTAGAACATGTGGCTCTTAATGGTTATGCTAGGGTTGTGGCTGCAAATAAGGAGTTTGGTTATTAGCCATTCAATGGAATGATTGCAGATTTGCAAATTCATTTAGGAAATGGATTTATAGGTTCTAGAGAGTAATTGATCAAAGAAATCATTCAACTTAATCCAAAGCCATCAATGAATATTTAATCTAAAATGGATGTTAATTTGATTAATACTGAAGTCATCATAAAACCAGAAGAAAAGAAAGAGATGAAATACAAATATGATTAATACAAAGGAGTAAATGAATATGCAGTATCTGGTTGGTTGTAATCTAAAGTAATGGGTTTGACAGATGCTTATAGAAATGTATTTAGATTGACTATCAATCCCCCAGAATTCTAGAAAGATAAATAAAATGCAGGAGATCGAACTCTATCCTTGTTCTAAAGTAAGACTAAGCTAGCATTTTCAACTTACACATATGGTATATTTGATACATAAGGAGATGATAGCAATGAATTTAATCGAATCATCAATTCTGGAAATAGTAATGGTGAATGGGTATTTGTTTACTTTGGATACTAATTCAAATCGAAAGAGGCCTTTGCATATACCCTTTTCTTAAATCGATAGGATAGTGCTCAATTTAATAACATAAAACACTTTGTTCCTAATTAATTCTTCTTCTATTTAAGTAATGATGGATATTATCCAATTTTCGATGGTAGCTTATTTGATTGGAATCTTTACTTTGGAGAAGGTGCATTCAATAAGAAACCGAAACAGATCATTAATCAATGGCCTATTGAACCTATTGGCGAATTTGAAGGTGTCATATCAGCACTCTTATCAAATTAAGGTTTGAATTCTATGAAAATAATAAGACCTGAAAAAAAGGAAAATGAAGAAATTGTCTTTAAAAATAATTTCCCTAAATCTGGAACGATATCTGGAAATCCAGCTCCTCGTTCTGGTTAACCATAAGTTGAGAATAAAGAGGCAAAGGCAATATCTTAAACTATTGTTAAATAACCTTAATCAGGATAGTTTGATACTGAAAAAATAACAATAATAATAATAATAATAATAACAATTAATAACAATAAAAATAAGCTAGAAAACCATTATCTGGAATAGCAGATCAAAAATGAAAAAATTGTATTATAGTGCTATTCATATTTTAAAATATTATTATAACTAATATTAAATAATTATTCACATTTTCTAATTTTTATCATCCAAAGAAGTAGATTGAAATTAATTAGATTTAATTCTAATATCAGCTAGACAATTGAATTTAATGATCGATACCCTATAAATTAATTTAAATATATAAATATATACTAGAATATATAAGCTTAATATTATCAAAATTTATATATTGTTTTAAATAGTTCCATATTAATAAATTATAGAAATTATATGATTGACCTAATATTTAAGTAATGAATCATGCGACTTACAATAAAATTGTAAAATCAACTATATTAACTGAATGTAGCTACAAATTAAAAATTTATATGTATGAATTGAGATATATCTTTGAATAGATTCTAAGATCCCTCATTATTATCTCAATTTATGATTTGCTGTGAAAATTAAATTATATTATTTATAAATAATTATTATTTTGGATATTAATTATAATTTTATCAATATATAATTAATTATATAAATTGATTAAGAACAACAGAATTCCCTTTATAAATTAAAATAAGTTAATATGTAAAACAATTACGACCAACTATTAGAAGAAACCAAAACAAAGATCCTTGCTATGGTTGAACTTAAACCAGAAAACCAATGGACTTTAGAGTCTAACAAAGATGGCTATGTAATTTAGACCAAAACCAATCCTGAAAATGGTCTAAAAATCAACAGAACTGAAACTAATGCTGATGTAAATCCAGAAGAGTTTGTAAACTTTGTAATTGATATGACCAGAAAACATGAGTACGATTCACATTTATAAGAGGTATTATCTTATCTTATTGTTTAATAGGGAAAATTAATAGAAAAAGTGGATCAAAACACTTTCATATTTTATGCAAAGGGAAAACCTCCCGCAATCTTAGTAGATGCTAGGGACTTCTGTATGGTGAGTCGAGTATACAAATTAGGTGAACATCATTTTATGACTATATGTAAATATATTAAAGACTTTATTAGCTAAGTCAATCGAGCATCCTTAAGCACCATTAGTCAAAGGAATTCAAAGAGGAGAGGTTGTATTCTAATCTTGGATTGTAAAGAAATTACCTAATGGACAAACAAATCTTATTAGTATAGCTAACATGAATCCAAAGGGTGATATTCCTAAGGCTCTGATTAATCAAGGTGCTTAAAAATAAGCAGAAGGAGTCAAGAAATCAATTGAATATTGGATAAAGAATATAAAAAAATGATTTATATATAAAATTAGTATTCAACAAAATAATCATTAAAATAATATCGGGGTTAGAATTCAATAATATCCATTAAATTAAAATTTTTTAAATTTGATAAATTAATTTTATGGCATTTCTTCTCACATTGCTATTGATTAGGACTCAAATGACAGTTCAATTTCAATTTGAAGTTTAAAAATTTCAGTCTTGAAAATATAAATTAAAAAGTCTCGATTTATTCTAATAATCAAAAAATTTCAATTTTTCTGCTATCATACTCATTGTAGCATTTCAAATGCTACGAATAGTATAATCAACACATAACCGTGCTTCAAGATAATTAATATTTACTTTGATAAAAAATGCTTGAAATTACTATCATATGTATTACTTGTATTTTTAAATTTTTATGAATTTAAAAATATAGAAGAATCCAAATTTTTCTCCCATCATCGATTAAAGGATATGAAGCATAAATAAAATTTCTATTTATTCTTCTAAGAAAAGAAAGTGACATATAATAATAAATGGAATTACATATACAATTGTATTTTGTTAAGATATTTTATTATGAATAGATTCACTATCGCATGATATCTACAATCTTTAATTTGTATAAAATCAACTATCTGTTATAAGAGTTTAGAAATTTTATTTTATAGTAAATATTATTTAATTCTTAAATTCAAAGATTTTCAAATCCTATGAAATATTTAATTTCAAGAGATCTAGATGAGATATATAAATAAGAAATAGGATTCTTAAATTTAATTGAAATTAAACTAAAGGATATTTATTATAATTATATATATAAAATGTATGTAAATGAATAGTATTTAAAATGACAAATATTATTGATATTAATATAATAATTCTTGTTCATATAATTTTTTACACGACTTATCTAAACACAAGGCCAGCGAATAAATTCTTTTTATTTAATATTTTATCCATAATTCTCCGTAATAGTTACTATTTGTTAACAATTTTACTAACTTTGGTAATATTGTTATGGGGGTAATAGAATTCATATTCTTAGACTTTGTCAATATGAAAGTCATTTTATTTATCATCTTGAGGAAGACTCTAATGAGAAATTGAAGGTAAATGTTCATTATATTATGAAAAACTCTGTCTTCTTGCTTGTGGAGATTAAAATTTATCATCTTCTTCATCACTCTCATGTTGTTGCTCATAACCTGGATATCCAATTTTATTTAAGAATGCTTAATCAACTTGCACTCCTAATTGAGTTCTCATCTTAATTATATGATCATAAGCTCCATTGAGAATACCAGTTCTTTACTATTTGTATTTAGTTTTTTTCCTAGCAAATGTTTGCCTATTCTAATAGTCATTGGTATGATAAGCAGCCAACACTTTACCGTTATTTTTTTTAAAGAAAATAAGAGGACAATTTTTGAATTAATGATGAGATTGGCAAGCCTCACAAATGATTAAGTTTGTATTTTGACCAAAAACAGTATTGTCTATGGCATACCGATATTGTTCAAAACTGGATCGATGATTTTGAATGATAGATTAAAATTCAGAAAGATTCAAGTAAGCTACTTAAACAAAGGAAGATGCAACAATATTGTATTGCATGACATCTTGATAAAAGAATTCTCTTTCGCAGAGTAGATTTCCTTATTGATATCTTTTGATAGACTTTTCCAATATTAGAGATTTAACTTATCCTGCCAACACTATATATAATTAATTTGGCAATTCGTCTTTTCTAAATGAATAAACATATTGATTACTTAATAATAACTTCTTCAGGAGCAAATGTTTTCTCGTGAATACAGAAACATAGCTTTTTGATTATATCGTCTGCAAAGTTGGTTCCAACTAATTTCGAATGTTTTAGATAACGATAATACATTGCAATTTACACTTCCTGTTTGAGTTTTGGATTGAGTTGTCCCATAAGTTCATCCAAATCTAATTCCTCGTCCTGTTTAAATTATAAATAATATTCTATGTATTTCCTAACTCTAAATTACAATTGAGTATTCAATCCTCTCTACTTAATGTGATTACTCACTAATCTCAATCTCGAATTGTTTAAATTTGTTTACTCTGCCATTTTATAAAAAATACTTTATATCATTCCTAGTGCATAACCAAAGACACCTGTAACCAAGAAAGTAATGACAGTGACTAATATTTTTTCAGGAGTTGTAACTGGAACAATATCACCATATCCAACAGTCATTGATGTGATAGTAATCCAATAGAGTGAATTGAAATATTTAGTGTACAAATCTTCATCAAATATATTCTATTGATGCAGCCAAGTGTGAGTGTAGCCTTAGTCTACTTCATAAAGGGCAAAGTAGTGGAATAGACAAGCACAAAAGTGAGAAATCAAAAGTAGTGAATAGATTAAACAAAATAACTAATAAATGATTGCACTCTTCTCCTTGAAATTGGATATCTCTTCAATTACTATCATAGTTCTTCTTACTCTTGTCATTCGAATCAACATCAGATAGTTTGCAGCTGAATATCCCATCCATGATAAAATGAAAGGCAAAACTATAGCCAAATCTAAAGCAAAGTCTCCTTTGATGTAATGCCAAAATATCTTTGCTTTATTCCTTTATAATATCCCTCTATCATAATATCCTTTAAAAAACGTAAGGATAAGGTCAATCAAAAAAATACAGCTTGGTAATGTACTAAAAAGAGTAAAGACACTACCCATATTGTCTTCATTGAGATTAAATGACAGCTGCAAAGGAACATAGAAGATATTCACGATAGTTACTAACATCATCAAGAGATCCCATAAAAAAAGGAATTTATCTGCAGGTAATAGAACTGTTTCATCACTTTTTATGAAACACCAAAAACGCCACCATAATGGATTGTTAGCGTGAGCTTCATATTTTATTTGTATCCACTAAGTTATAGGAATTTATTACTCTTGATGGTTTCTAAAATAGCATAAAATTATATAGATAAAATTGGAATGAAGAAGCCTTATCTCTGATTAGTAGAAAGATGTTTTTCTTTAACAATTTAAATCTGTAAGTAGTTGAATTATGTTTAAGTCGAGTAATGAAAATTGTTATTTTCTATATGATCCTTAAAGGTTTGGATTTCCACGCTCTTGAAATATTATTAATTTATATTTACGAGTTATTTTCTAGCATTTCCAATTACTTATCAACTTTATTGAGAGCATCCAATTCAATCTCTTAATCTTCCATCCTCTCTTGTTCTTCTTTCCTAAATCTGATCCCTTGGAGTTTGGGTATCATTAAAAATAAAAATAATGCTTTTATTTTATGAACTTATTAATCATGCATAAATAAAAAATTACATTAATCATTCTACTCATAACTATTCCACAGCAGATCATTAGAGCATATCCCAGAAGAAACCTCAACTCTCATACTCAATCTTTTCCCCTCCAATCAAAATAGCAGGATCCAACTATAAAGAGATAACGCTCTTTTATTCCAAATTTAATTTAGATATAACCTTAATCCATCTATCCATAATTGTTTTTCTTATTCAACAGAAGCATGAATATTTATTTAAATAGTGATTAAACAGAAGTATATGTAGGAATTAAATAACAAATTGTAAAATTCAACATGCTAACATAAAACCCACAGATATATTTAAAATATTAAAAATAAAGTACATTAAATTAAAAAATTTAACCTCATTTTTCTAATGATTAAATTCTAACCTTTTTTTTAGGCTGAATCACTATAATAAGCTATGTGCTTTGAGAATATATGAATTTGCTTTATTACAAAATCCAATTTTTATTAAGAAAAGGAATTGAATTTTAATAAAATCGCAGAAATAAAGTTAGAGTAACTGAAAAAATATTTAAAATATGAAATCATTCATATCACTTATGTTTGTAGTAAATAAATTTCGATCTTCTGCAGTCCAAACAATACCATTTACTACTGGGAACATTAAATTCTAATTGGGCTGGATCACAAAAAGTGTGGCAAAATGCATCATTACATCTATCACATATCAACATTAAATAAGGAGTGTGTGAACATTAACAAACTTAACATCTCTCTTCATCATCATATTCACTTTGATCTTCGTAAAATTGATCTTCTTCTTAATTCCATTTTGGTAAATTTAAATTTAATTATATTGGGATGTTTTCTCTTTTTCCTTCTTTTATTGGATAGATGTAATTGAATTTTGCTCGACAACAAGGACATTGTGTTTTATATTTTTCTGCCCATTCTTTAATACAAGTTGAACATATCTAATGTTTGCAAACATCAATCTCACAAACATTTTATACATCATCTAAATTCTACATACAAATAGGACATTCCTCCTGTGTCTATTATTTTAATCTTGCCTTCTTCTTTGGTCCTGAAATAAAGTGCTTAGGCAATTTACTTGAACTAGGTATTTTTTATTGCTTAATTAAGAACAATATCTTACTTGCTTTGGTAGAATAGTAACAGTCTCTTTCGTATCCGGACTGTCGAGAATCAACTTCTTTTTTCTTTACTTTTCATTAGACCATGCGATCTACTTATTTTGCACTTGATTAGACTGTTTGGACATTTTTTACTTTATATATTATTTAATCAATGTTTAATTAAAGTACTATAAACTCCATCATAAACAATAAGATCAGGGTTTCTTTATAATATAATCAGAATCTCATCAGATAATTCATTATATTCTAGAAAATGATAAATGTTCGCTTTTAGAAATAAAAGACCAATCTCATGCTTTATTGAATAATTTATCTAAGAACAACTATCAATTAGCAGTCTCTTTTCATTCATCTGTTTCAAACTCTTTTAATCTAAGTTATTAATTTAATCTTCTTGGTATAATTCTACAATTAATCTATTTATTGCTCTTTTTAAACTTTTAATCTTTTTCCCTGTTTCTTCTTTTATCTTTTAGTAATACATTTATAAACTTTTATTTCAACTCTATGTTATTCATCAATTAACAATTCAAAATCCTAGATTAAATCATTAATTATTTATACCTCTTGAGGTTTAAATTTAGACCTCCTTAATAAATAGTAAATTAAGAATTTAACTTTTATATCCTCCTTTATACAAATGTTATGATTTAACTGCTTGCATTAGAAAGTAAATCATTATTATTTCAAGAGATTAAGTAATTGGAATTATAGGCTCAAATCTTTAATATTTTTTTAGATCGACTATTCATTTAACTATTTGAATTTCTTTCTTCTGACCTATTTCATTTTCTACATCCGCTTTGCTTTGCCTTGATTTAGATGTATTTAGTATGATTCAAAGTTAAATATAAATAAATTCTACTTCTGTAATATTCTGAAAGTGCTATTAAATGTTATTTCTCTTAGAAAATTTAACAATGATTTTTATTAATTTTAGGGTTATAGCATTTTTTTCATTAATTTTATTTAAAAATATATATATATATATTCACTTTCCATTGAACAGATGTACTTGTCCTATAGCCTATGCTTCAAACATTTCTCTCCCACTTATTGAATTTGGTTTCTTTAATAAAGGATCATCAGCTTAATTAGCCACAAACACGATAGTTTTTTCATCAAACCATTCCTCGCATAATGGCAACTCGGCTCCTGGAGGTATAGTCGAAATGATCAAATCAAATTTATGAGTCTTTTCAGCCTGTCTCATAAATTCGACCTTTTACTACTTGGCTAAGGTTTCTACTTTTTAAGGATCTCTCCCATATAGATAAACTTATAGTAAAAATAATTTTGCAGCAACAAAAATAGCAGTCTTTGCAGTACCACCATTCCCCAAAATTAAACATTTTTGCATATTCTTTGGAAATCTTTTAAATATTGGCCAAAACATCCCCCACCAATCAGTATTAAATCCAATCACTTAATTCTCATATTTTATAATACAATTCACAGCTCCAATAATCTGAGCTTCTATTGATTATTCTGTCAAGTATTATTGAATCTAATAATAATATTTAATTTTACTTCTTCCTTAAATGGCATTGTAATTGAGGCTCCTTAGAAATTAATATCATTAATATACGATTTTGCCTATTCAATTTTCTTGATGGAGACTTTAGTATAGAATTTGTTGTGTTATTGATTTAGTTGGTCAAAATTTCGTTAATGAAGCAAATCGCTTCTGGATAAGGATAAATCATCACCAAAGATATGATAGTTTTGAGTTATCACAAAATCGGCTAAGCTTCTGATGGATCTTAATTGCTGTATAGTGCCTTGACCAACTGCAGTAGGAGTCAAACAAGACAAAGGAACCATAAATTTGTTTAGAGTTCTGTACAATTATGAATTTGGTCCCATTGATACAACTAAGTAGGGAATAACAAATTTCATTCCCATGAATAGCTTAGAAATTTCTTAATAGGTAAGTTCTGATGGATAAGCATCCTAATTAATTGCCAGCTTTAACAAGCAAATTGTATTAGGATTGTGCTCTGAGATGTATTTCATCCTCTCTATAAATTCAATGATCTACAGTTTTTCTGTTTTCTCAAATAAATGTTACGATAGAATGATAGAATTGTAATAATGTTATGTAATCATAACATTATTATATTAATCCATCTCTATATCAAAATAATCTCCAATAAAGCTATTTTACCATTACTCTATTAACTTAACATATGATGTTCCAGTATAGAATCCACCTTGTGCTTTTGTTCTCAAAGTAAATATTATTGGAATTTCAAGGTAAAATTTGATGTTATAAATTTATTGTCTAATTTTATCAAATTACTCTTAAATGTTATCTATCTTATCCATCCTTACCTCCAATAAATTGTGATTTCTATTTATAAAATGAATCTTCTGATGATCTACAATAGTTAATTCCTCGTAAAAAATGCAAGCAAAATTAGTGTCTTGAACATATATTTTATTCCTTGGAAAATTCAAATGTTATATGCCTTTGATAAAATTCAAATATAACTCATTTATTCTTTGATAATACCTAGTAATATCATAATTGGATGTTATCTATTAAATATATTTCCTACTTGGTAATGTAAAAATGTATTTACTGACTCTCTAATAGATTGGTTTTCTCCTATTATAAATCTCCATGATATTTCCAATTGATGGTCTATTTTAAGATTGTAAATCTTCAATTAATTCATTGATATCCTTTTCAATCCATATGACATTTTTGCCAATCAATAATTACTATATTTGTTCATCCTCAATGATTCCACCTCCACAATCAACCACTACATTCTTCTAATATTTCAATAATATCTGTATAAATTATTCCTTTTCACATTTTCTAAATTGTTCCCATCCAAACTTTGTGATGAATTCATTGACATTATTAGATATCATATTATCAATGCTAATGTAATCGAACCCTAATTATTAGCATATGTATTAAGACAGAGTGCTTTTACCTGCTCCTCTCATGCCAATTATGTACAATGGTTCCTTATAATATTGGTAATTGTATAAGAATTCTTATTCTTAGTTATAAGTCAAGGCCTATTAATTCAAACCTAAACTTTGAATATGATTATAGAAATCAGGGAATGTCTTCCTTACACAATCCTTATTATCTATTATAATTCTATATTAATATTGCACTTTTTCAAAATGTCCTCCTAAAATACTAAAAGCCATTGCAATCCTATGATCATTGTATGTATTGATTATAACATCCTTTCTATAGCCATTGTACTTTTGATATCTTTTGCCTCTGATTAAAATCTCATTATTTTGTGATAAACAAACCACACCAACCTTAACTAGATTTTCAGTGACAGCCTTAATTCTATCACATTCCTTCACTCTTTAATTTTCAATTCCTTTGATAATACATTAACCTTCAATAGAGGACATTAACAAGGCTAAAGAAATAAAAGTGTCGCTAAAATTGATGCAATCGACATCTTGAGGTTTTAGGTCTTAATTCTTTATTATTTTGTAAAATCCTTATTCTCTCACTACTTACATGCCCATCTACTCTATAACATCTAAGAATTGTGCATCTCCCTATAATTTGGATATCTTTTTGGTTTCGATTGATCCACCATTTAGTCCGATATGTAATAAATCATAACTCAATGCTGTTGCATCTGGTTCAATATCGTATGTTTGGGCTTTATATATTCCCTTTTTGACTAAAAACTTGGTTTTTGAGATTCTCTCTACCTTTACTCCATAAATATTCATAAGTTGTATAGTCATTTCAATATAGGATTCACTAACGATGGTTTCATTCTCTTTGCAATCAATAATTTCAATCAGGGTTTCATCATTTGGGAAGTAAGGAGCAGCCATCAAGATTCCAGAAACAAATTGACTACTAAGTTAAGACTTGATTTTGATGTGTTTACCAAGTTTACCATCGATAACTTTAAAAGGTAATTGGCCTTCCTTTTCTAAATATTTGACATTTAAATTAAGTGCTTCCACCATCTCTTAAATTGGTCTTTCATAAATTCTTTGAGCACCTATGATGGTCACATTCCCAATTAAGGCTGCAATAGGAAGTAGAAATCTGGCACAAGTACCACTTTCCTTGACATTTATGGTGTATTCCTTTTAATAAAATTGCCCCTAGCATCCTTCGAGAATGAGATTATGTTTAGAATGTGTTTGAATTTCGCACAATCTTAATTCTTACAAGGAATTCAACATAGCCTTTGTATCATCAGAATCATAGAAATTATTCAATGAGCTTATACCTTCTGATAGGGAACTTAACAAGAGCACTCTATTAGTGATACTTTTCGATCCATGTATGGGTTTGCTAGGTCTGATGTCTGAACATTTTATAACACAGGATTTAACAAGTATTTTTTTAATGATATCCATATTGACAGGTGTAGTATTAAATTTATGTTTGCCAATTTCTTATATAAATACAAAGTTGATTTCATGTTTGAATACTTTTTTATCAAACTATAAATATTTTAGCACATCTTATATATTGACATACTCTGGGATTTCAATAGGTAATTCGTATTTCAAAAGAACATTCCTGATTCTATTCTCATAGGATGAGGTGTCAATCCCATGCTCTTTAGCCAATATATTTGCCAAAACCATGCCAATAGAGACACATTCACCATGCAATAATTTGCCTTGACTTGCAAATTCAACTGCATGACCAATGGTGTGACCATAATTTAAAATTTTGCGAATATTTTGCTCATATTTATCTTCTGTTACAATACTTAACTTTAGATTGATTCCATATTTAATGATATCCAATAGACTGGATTAGTTATTTGGGTCCATCAAGTAATTGTAATCATAACATTCCAATCTCTCAAATAATTTTCGATCAAAACAAGCTGCTATTTTGATGATCTCTGCCAAACCATTCAGAAAATTTCTTTTATCTAATGATTGCAAAAATTAGCTACACACTTTGATTCTATAAGGATCATTTATCACTCCTAGTTGATTCTTACCGTAGATGTTGTTGATACCTGTCTTTCCTCCAACACTAGCATCTGCCATTCCCAACAACGATGTGGGAATCAAAATGAATTTAATTCTGTTGAATAGTTAAATATACCAAACCCTCTCATATATATGCTAGACACGAATCCAACCAAATCAGTCACCACTCCTCCTCCAATTGCGATCACTAAATCTTATCTACAAAATCTTTTGCTAAACAAATATTCTGCCAATTCATTCGCAAAATGTAGATTTTTAGCTCCTTCTCCTCCTGGTAATGTGAATGTTATTGCTTATGGAAATTTTTAGCATATCTACTACAAGTAGAGTTGTGCAATATTAGTGTCTGAAACCTAATGTAGAAAATGTGGTTACAAAACAGATTTAGGGGTTTTGGAGGACTTGAATAGTATTTGCTAAGGAATCAAGGGTTTCGTTGATTGTGTTATGGTAGTCGATTAGTGAGTTATCTTGATCAAGTTATTCTAGGTTAATGAAACTCATAAATTAAAAACGTATTATATATATATTACTATCAAAAACGGGTAATAAGTGTAAATCACATGAGCATGATTGGATGCATAATAAATAATTAAAAAAATGGCTAGATCACTAACAATATTGGCTATTTGTTATTGCAGTTGCTACAGCACGATTGACATAAGACAGAAAGTCCCAAAGAAATTTTGGCCCAAGTCAACAAGGATTCATTTGGTAATTCCATCCTTTCAGTTCTCCAACTCTAATTGGCCACTGGTGGACCCGTCGGAGAGATCTAAATCCTCTTAAATAACATTGCTTCTTAATTGAATGGAGATTAAAAGAAGGCTGACAAAGTTCACGAAAGTGACACTGTTGCATTTGAGAAGATCATTGCTGACTTAGAATAAGAAATTGCTTATCATTAAACCTAAATTGTTGCCCTCTCTAACTTGAGAGATTCAACAACTGAGGCCTTGGGTGAAGCTGAAGTTGAAGTCAGAGTTGTCACATCCGATATTGCCAATAACGAAAAAAGCTTTGCTGACGAATCAGCCACCAGATAATCATAACACGATACATGGGTTAGAAAAGATGCAGAACATGTTGATTAAATTGATGCCATCGATGAAGCCTCAAAGATTGTCCAACATTTATAAGCTGGTGTTGCCTTTGCTTAACTCAAGAGCAGATTCGAAAAAGTCTAAGCCAAATTGATGGAAAGCAAGCATGCTCTCTTCAAAGTATATTTCATTTGCTATTATTTAACAGCCACTCATCAATGCCTTGACCTAATTAGCCTCCAAGGTTGATAACAAGAGCATCATCAAAATCTTAGAACTCTTGGCCTAAATCAGATAATAATTGGTTGCCAGCAGAGCCTCCCTCCTCGCCACCGAAGAAAAATAAGCTGCCAACTGGGAAGTCTAAAAGTGGTCACTTATAAGAAGAACACAAGAGATTAGTTGAAAGAAAGGCCTTCTTAGAAAACTCAATTGTCTAATTCAAGGTCACCATCTAAGAAGCTGTTGAAGACTTAGAAGATTAAACTGTAAGATAGTCCCACTATTCTAGTTATTCCTTGAAGATGCTGAAGATTCATTGGCTATCCAAGAGAGATGGGCTGCTGAATAAGAATCCCAATATGAAGCCTAAACCTTCGAAAGAGAATAATAATTGGAAGTCGTCGAAAGATTATAAGAAGTCTTAACCTAAAAATTAAGTGCAGCTTCAGAATTCCTCCAAATTAGAGAAGAAGTATTTTGATTTATCATAATAATCAAGATTTAAAATATTATTTCCCTAAATTTAATTTATCCTTTTTATTATATAAAATAACAGTATCACATAATATGATGTATATATAGTTCATTATTGTTTGATGCATAAATAACATCTGGATTATTTGCGAAACTTATAGTTTCTAAGAAATTATCTTACTTTGCTTCATCAACCAATATCCATTAATCATCTTGGTTCTTCTACCATATTTAAAGAGCATTAGTTTCTCCTCCAATTGCCAATACTGACGCATCATTGTTAAATTCGATTGCTCTAATTTTACCTTTTATATTGAAGATCTTTTGATATTCTTTATATTCTCTCTATTTTGAGTTGTTAAAACAATAAACTAAACCATCCTTTGTGCAAATCAACAAATCTTAATCATTTTAACTAAATAATATTCTTTTTGGATTATTTTGCAATCTCAATTATTAAATTAATATTAACTTAGCATCTTCAATTCTCCATAAACTGATTTTTTAATCATAAGCTCCAACAGCTAATATTCTCCCATCATTTGAAATCTATAAATTTGTAATTATTTCACTTGATTTTTGTTCTTAAAACTTAAATACATACTTCTATCCTTATAATTCTAATAAAGCAAATTTGTTTCCTTCTGAATAATAAATCTGCTTCTCAGATTTACTCAAAAGAACTTAACTAATTTCTTGAAAATCCATGTCCATTTTGAACGACTGGTTTATATATTTGTTTCTCTATCCAAGTATACCCTTCTTATTTCCAAATCTTAATTGAATTATTATTCTAACTAAGGTTAGAGACATAGGCAGGATTTTATCTAGAATCTTCTCCACATGTTACAAAGGCATTTTCTAATTTGCTCATTTTAAAATCTATCAAACTCTGAATATAACATTAAAGTTAAGTCGAAAAATTCCATTTTTTTTTTTCAGGGTCATACTTCCAAATACTAAGATAGTTATTTGGCTCCATAAACCTAATATAAAGCATTGATTAATCAAAATTTAATTGTATATCAGCTATTGATTAATTTTCTTTCAAAAGCATGATTTCGCTTTTCTGAATTTCATATATTCTCTGTGCTTTATAATATTTCTATTGTTATTGTATGATTTAACCATTCAGTTAATTAACTTATTATGCAAATATATTTTCAACATTTTTAATATCATTCTCCTATTTAAAGTTTAAAATTTATTATTTTAAATTTTGTGTAAATTCGAAATATTAATTTGATTCCGCTAGTTATTGATCATCAATATCTTTAAATTTTAGAGTATAATTATAGTTTTATTAATTGAGAATGGTATTCTTTGACAATACTTCTGCTAACTCTTAGAATTATTTAATTCCAAATTTCTTTAGGATTTGATCTTGTTATGTGTTCATGAAAGCGCCTAATTTTTCATTACTTTATTTCTTTATACAATTAACAAAACTGTTTAATAATTCCAAGCAATTGCTAGTAGGTCTCTGAGTACTTGAAATCCTTATTAATTTATTGTTTAATTATTGAAGTAAACCTTATATTTCTTCTATTTCTTTTTAAAATTTCTTTAAAACGGTTCGCGCTACTTAAAAATTATTTTAGTCAATGTTTTAATAGATGTTTTCACATAAATTACCAAATATATCAAAAGGAATACAATTTAGATCTAACTAACATTCGGAACACTTCATTCTATATTCCCTTTCACACATCTATGATAGATCTATAAAAGTAAATGGTTGCTTGTGTTTATTGCAAGAAAATTGGTTGATTTCAAAGTTGCTATTTTGTTGGATGTAGAGTTTTTGTGGATTAAACATTTATATATATAATATTTAAAGATTCAACATTTCATAAATTGCTTAAATTCTAAAATTTGTCTCAGTATTAAACAGAATAGATACTATAGTAACATTAAATTTATGAATTCTTATTCTTCTTTGAAATTCAATTTGCCATTTATCTATTACAAAATATTGAAATTCCATATAAATCAATTGCATTAATCCAACAAAAGTAAAAATTATTGAGTTTAGAATTTGATTAGAAATAAACCATTATTACAATTCTAACTGAGTTGAATATTAAACAAGTTCTCTATAAATCTTCCCATTTTTTATTGTAATTTTACTCAACTTCGAGATAATTATTTTAGTAAATAAATAAATATATTACCAGAATTAATTACATAATATAAGCTTATGTATTAAATTTTCAGAACTATGAAAATGATGAAATAGATTATAAGGCCAATTAGAATGTGTACTCCAATAATAGCAACAAATAATTATTTGAACATTTACAATTTGAATTAATTCTTTTTACGGATGTCATTGGAAAATAATGATGACGATCTGGAACCCCTTAAAGTAAAAGAAGAACAAAATATTCGTAGGTTAATTAAGAATCTGATATGAGGTGCCCTCAGATGATTGTTTGATTTATTCATAAAATCACAGAATTTAATACACAATCTTATCATACTTTGAATTTTAACTTAGCTGATTATATACTAATCTAATATGAAGAAGTATTTAAAATATTCTCAGCATTTGTTTCTTATATTTCATATTAAAATAGCTCTAATCTAAATTATATATTATTTATTAGATAAAATATTTTTTCCAGAATTTTGCGCAAAATTTAATCAAATACATATATACCTTTTGATCCAATTCAATATAGTTTAATATTTATCATTCATTAAATTAAATGTATAATTAAAAATAAAATTATAACTTTCTATTTATGATACAATTTTAACTTATTAGATTCCCTATAGTAACTTGATATAATTGTCAAATTTTTGCTGTTTATTATCAAGATTTATGTTATTTCTTAAGTGATTATCATTAGTAAAAGAATAGTTTATTAAAAAGATAGTAATTTTATTTATTAATATAGAATAAAGAGAAGAAGATAGTACAATTCTAGCTTGCTCTTCAAGTAGAATTAATTGTGATTTTAAATCAACATACTCAAGGTTAATTAATGAACATAGAAAAATGTAAAATGGGGTATTGTTGATTTAATTAATAATACATCTAGAAGACTATTTTCTATAGTTTCAAATACTAAAATTATATTTTTTGATGCAATTTTGATGCATATAGGCTTTTGTTTACATTTTCATATAAACCATTGAACAACAATATGATCTTTATGCCTTTAACCACACTTAGATATTTGGTTGATCTATAAATGAAAACAATAATTTATCAAATCATAAGAGTAATGGTGATCTTTTGTTGTACAATCTCTTAATATACCAAATCTGCCATATTGTAACTAAAACTATAAATATAGTTTCAATAACTGTAAAAACATAGATTTTCTTATTGGCTTCTTTTACTTATTGAGTAGATGATTCATATCTGATTTATTAAAATTTATGATCATAATATAATTCTTAGAGTCCATTATAAATATAATCGATGTCTAATTCTAAAGGGTCAATATCTGTTGATTTGATTTTATCATCCTTATCTTTAACCACATCAACAGCATAGGTAAGTAATTAATTAGCCTTTTTTTTATTGTTGAATATTATTGAATATAATCCAATCTCAGTTGCTTAAACAGTGAAATTTCCTTTGTTTGTTGCTAACTTTGAATATACTGTTCTTCCAGCAGGGGTTTTTACTGAAAAGTCAATAACATCTTTGTGATGATTGACTTAATATGCTCCTTTTATTAAGGTTGGTTCTGTTATATTCTCTAATAAAACATCCTCTTAATTTGCTTGTAAAGTGAAGGTTATAATGTCATCAGGAATAAAATCATAAAAACATTATACACTAACCAAAAACGTGGCATAAATAAATAAGTATTTCATTATAAAATAATTAATTAATTATCTCATACAAATTCATTCATTTTGTTAAACATCTTAGGCATTGTCTTATATTCTAATCCAATCTATTTCTTTTGAATTTTTTTCATTGAATGTCTTCTAATCAGAAAACCTACTAATATAACCAATAAAATAATAGCAAATATTCCTAAGTAAATATAATACCTATAATCTTGAGGAACGACAGCTGTTTTGGTTTCTTCATCATTTAAATAATCTTGTTGCCTTTTATTTCTTAAGATTTCTTTTTGAATTATTAATTTTATTAAATTTCTTTCTTCATCACTTAAATCATTAACACCATTCTTACTCAGATAATCATCAACTTCTTTCTGAATTTCATCTTCTGTTTTACCTTCCTTTAATAGTTCTCGAATTAATTCTCTAACTTTTTATCTGTATTATTTCATTTATTCTGTTGGTTGAATTTGCTCTTCCTATTGCTTCACATCATTGATCATTTCATCTAAATTGTTGCCATTTGAATCTATTAATGTGGAATTAGAAAAGAAGTAATCTATAAATTCTGTTATCTTTTCTCGAATTTTCTCCATAGACAAGCCCTAATCTAAAAATTCTTATATCTAATATTCTATTTCTTCCAATTCCTATTCATTCTTCTCTTAAATCTATTTATATTCTTATATATCCCATGTTGCTTTGGTACTACGATCAGGATTACTTTAGAAATTTTCAATTTCTTTATTGATGATTTATAAAACTACTTTACTATTGAATTCTTTCTTAGAATCCATTAGAGTTTAATCTAGATTTTGAGAAATCTTTGTCAATACAATATTCTTATCTGTTATATTTAGCTGGCTAAAATATTCTACATCCTTTTCAAGTCTTAGATGATCTTATTCAGTCTCCTTTTCAAGTTCATCAACCATTCCAATTAGAGCAAGGAAAATCTTTTATTTTTCATCGTAAGTAGCATTAGTATAATATTTGAAGCCTTCATTGAATATATAGCCTTCAATTAATTCTAATTCATCCCCTTGTTATTAAGTGAGATTGGTTGATATATGTTCGAAAATTTAATCTAATGCTTAATTAGTTTGGTTCCACTTCTCTCCCTTTTATAATGGATTTCCTCCTTATTACAAATTTCTTCCATATGCTTAAATAGCAAGAATCAAAAAACTTATCATATTTATGATTAATATATTTCTGAAATTAAAAATTACTCTTTAGAACATACATTATATATAATGTACTATTACTAGGTTAGATAATTTTTGTAAGGAAGAATTTTTCACTCTCTAGTCTTTTGATTATAAATATATTAGGTATTATTTTAAAAATACAATGATAATGATTATGATAATTTAATTATATATTTAATTTTAATCGTTAAACTGTTTTTACTATGACAAGTGAACTTAGTGAGGATAGTAGCTTTTATGATCTCAAGTTTCCAAGATCTCTAACTACAAGTGTTAGAAAACAAGGTTAAGAGGACTATTTTTTTGAGTTGAAGGAGAAACAAAAGCAAATTGAGGATTTGACTTATTAGGTTAAATTGATGGCTGCCAATAATTAAACTGTAAATCTCTAGAACTAGATGCAATAAAGCGAGATAGAAAGGTTACTTAGATTTATAAATGAGTAATAGAATGAAATGAAAAAAATGGCTTAAAGAGATAATAAAAAACAAATAAATACTAGATCAATCAAAATGCAATTAATCAATAAAATGTGTCAATGGGCCAAATAATTTCCATTAGATTAATAAATTTAGTTTGAATAAATAGTTTAAATGATTATATGAAAATATTTCTAATTCAAAATTTTGTCACTAAAAATTATTTTATTAGAAAATGAATTTCTGCCATCATTTCAGTAAATGGCTTCTCTTGTTTTACTGAATTTGCTATTTGTTTCTCTAAATTCTCGAATCCCTGAAACTAAAGTTATTGAAAGTTCAAAAATTATCTATGAATTGAATCCTCATCTTCAGCTAAAATATCGATTAAATCGAACATAGATTCCTTGATCTACCTTATCAAAAGTATAACTTACTGGTTTTTTATATCTATTTTTAATACGATCCTTTAACCATGCCGAATTTGAAATGGATCTATCCTCGTTCAAGGTGTATTTCATATTTGGATGACAAAATATCTATTATATAATAGCAATTTACTTGGTTCTTAATATCGAAATACCTCTACACAAATATCATCTCTATATTGCAAAGTGTTTGGGTACCAATTATGATGCGATTACTTTTATTGTCATTTTATAGACTTGATTTTTGTTATTCATTAAAAACAGATGCTAATGCATTTGCCATAGAAGGTACTAATGGAGGTTTCTATTCATTCAAATAAAATTGATTAGAATTGTTGAATTAAAAGCTTGGTACAGAGATGCCTTAAAAGAATCCTGGAATTTGCATATTCTCTTTAAAAAGCGAATCATCTTTATAGAACATCACATAATACTTGAATTTTTTATTTGTAATTACGGAATTTGAGAGTTATTATACTCCATCAATGAAGTAGATGGGAAATTATACACTAAGTATGGATATTAGGAAGGTATGTTTTGTTGGTCTTTTTGTTGCGTCTAAATATCAATTGAATCATTAAACATAATTAATATATAAAATATATGATAAGAAAGTGTACAATGCAGAAAATTGAATAGATATAAACAAATTCTATATTCATTACACCTTCAGTCACATCTCTTGCTTGACAACTCTATATGACAATCATCTATCATGTTATCTAATTAAATTTTGATTTGTAATCCGATTGAAGAATTTGTGAAATTGAAATTGAACAAAGAATAACGAGTAATGTGTAATAAAAAATTTGTTGACTCTCGCATAATATAAAAGTGCCTTAAAATTTCTGTAAAATTGGCAGAATATAAAATTATTAATCCATGCAATCATGATTTATTAATCAATTTATGTAGGATTTGTATTGAAATGAAGCATTTGATTCTCATATATAATATTTTGACATACAATTATATTGATTCAATCAGCTTTCTAATTTGAAATTATACCCTATCCCAAATACTCACATATAACATCAAATTTATCTGCTGCTGCATATAGTTTTTCTTTGAATGGTTTTGTTTCCTTCGATGCTTCAATAAATTCTTATTTTCTTTTGAAAAACATCTATGTGTCTTATGGACAAAGGAGACAGGCTCTTTCACTAAGAAGATATAATAAACATTTATCTTACGTATGAATGCAATGTTCGTGATAGGAATGGCCACAAAGAAAATGATAAGAAGGTAAACTCAAAATGGCATCGCAACAATTACATTTAGTTGATTAGAATACTTTAGCTTGTGTCTTTAATTTCTTGTATTCTGCTCTCAAATCGGCTGCTTTCTTCATTTTCTCCTTTACAACTTTTTAATAGTCATCAATTTGTTTTTTATCTTTTGATATTTTATTAGTGAAATAGTTCTTGACTAATTTAAAATTAACATTTTTATTTTTAGACAAGATGTTTAAAATAAGCAAAGGTGAAAGATTTTCTAAACTACTCACTAACACTAGAACCTTTTCAATGTAATTCTCAGCACTATTCTCTGGCTTAGCAAAATACTTCAATGCTTATATCCACAGATTTGTCTCTTCTCTTCCATATTCACTGCATAAATTAATGATTTAATCATTCTCCTTCAGACTAATGTAAAAGTTTAATAACTCTTCTCTCATTTGTAACTTTTTCAATAGGAAAATAATGCCTGGAACAAAATTGTACATTTTAAACAATACTAATAAGTGATTCTTATCATATTTCTTTTCATTTTCTTGGTTTTCCAACAATTTCATAATACCTTATTCTTTGCTCTACAATTAGTTATCTCTAATCCCTATCTTACTCTCATCTTTATAAAATAATTGATATTTCTCTAAATGGTATTCAAAGTATCGATGGAATATGGCTTTTTCATTTGGTAATGTTTTGCAATTTTCAATTAAGAATTTCAAATAGCTTTCTAAATATTCATCGTTAACCACAAATAAGTGTAAGAATTCATCTGGTTTACCAAATGTTATAGAAAATACCTTTTTGATCTCCTCATCTGATAAATTGAAATATCTCCATACTTTCAATTCCTCAGGAGTCAAAATACTAATTGATTCAATTCCTTTTTGTGAGTCTACCCTTTTTTTCAAATTTTACACCATACTAATAAGTAAAACTAAATTTTGGATAATTTCAAGACATAATTCTGGCTCAGCCTTCATTAATTATTGTCCAAATTCTTTCAAATATTAAGCCTAATCAATTGGTAATTATTATTACTTTTTCATCCAATTAGATTTCTTCTCTTATATACATCAAAGCACTCTTACAATCTTACCTATTCTATTCCTTATTATTCTAATCTTTGTTTGTCTCAATGAGGATACTCAGATAAGCTTCATTTTTTTATCTAGACTTAGCTAATCTGAGAGCCAAATCTATATGGCCTAATTATCTGCATTCTTTGATAGCAGTATCAATATCAAATAGATCTGAATCGAAACTAGATTCCTTAAGAAATTCTTCGAGTTTAGTGATCTATTTCTGTTTGACATAACAATTCAACAATAAGGCTGTATGATTTTTGTCTGCTTACTTTTCGTGATGCAATGCTGCTAAATACTAAATCAAGAAATCAACATGTGAAACATCTAAAAACTTCCCAATTACATACGAGGGTTCTAGAATGCCTGCAGTATTGATGTATTATTTGATTGCACCTTGAAAATCATGTTAATCATATAAATGATCACCATGCAATCTACTGATTTCGGCTAATAGAGTCTTATCCGATGATTAGTTGCTAGCGAATCTATACATAACATCAAAATAATTATTTTTAAAAAAGATCTCAATTTTATGAGTATTTTCTTTTTCTGTTAACCTTATCAAGTTTTTCTCACCTCTATTATTTTGTGTAATAACATAGAGATAATCGCCAACTGGAATAAATCTTTGAATCTTATCAAATTTCTTATAATATGCAATATAATTGTTTAGAAGGTCAAAGATAGTTAATTACACAGATTAATCAACCTATTCTTTGTCTTATCTTGGTGAGATCAACATAATTAAGTAATTTTATTTGAAAAATCTAACTTCGATTTTATCACCATCTACATTCCAAGTAGCTTCCTTTTTAGTATCACTATATTCAACTATGGTAGATGTATCATCTTTCGGACATCCGATTAGAGTTCCTTTAGCTGTCAAATCAAATAGAGCTCCAGCAGGGATAGAGAATTTCTTTCTATTTTGCATATTTTGAAAGCAGATGATGTTAGAGTCAGTAGTACAAAACAAATTGAGATTTTGATCTTGCCTACTGAGATGGACAGATTTTATTGGTTCTTAATCAGTTTAAATGATTTAATCTTTGAATTCCATAGTCATTAGATTTTATGTTTTGGCCTTGAAGATCAAGATTTAGCCATCTTGCAAACCAAAGGCCATAGCACTTAAGTCCTTAGCTATACAAAAGCAATTGAAATTCTATAATGGTTAGCCGACCTTATTAACCAAGATAACTTTAATAGGTTCTAGGAATTTATTATAATAAATTTACTTATATTTTGATAGTCGGTTGTGTTTGGATCCCAAAATTTGACATAGCTGCTTTTTTAGTTGTTTTCGCTATCAATACCGAAGGTGACTAGCTTTCCCTATTAAAAACATGAATTATTGTTTATTACATCTCTATTTTCTTTAGTGCATTTCATAACTCTGAAGGATTCATTGTGAGGTTGGAAGTATCCTTGAATGGAATTGGCTTCATACACGTAAATAAGATTTTTGGACTGAGATGAGAGGAATAGTTTGGTGCCAATTCCACATCCATCAGATATGCCAATGTCATTTAAGGTTGGGGCTGTAGGGTCTCCACTAAAATAAATTGATGAATGTTGGGTACTTAGCTCTTTGATCTTGAATGTTTTCTTAATTAAAAAATTAAAATTTCTTGACCTATTCAACTTCTGTCTATCTCATTCTAATTAATTTAATATTTATTATTTAGTATTATTTTGCAAGAGAAAATGCATTCTATAAATAAGAATGATTATTAAAAAAATCAAGATTTCTGTAATAAAAAATATATTAATAAAATATGTTTGAATCATTACTTGAAAAAGTATTGAATTCCGTATTGGGATAATTCATAGAAGGATTTGATGCCTAAAATCTCCACATCGGTATTTGGAGTGGAGAGGTGATCATATCCAACGTTTCGCTAAAAGCAGACATCATCAAAATGCTGGAATTGCCAATCAGACTTTGTTTTAGTCACATCGGAAAATTGAAACTAAATGTAATTCTAACTACAAAAACTATATATAGGTGCCATGGAAGTCATTAACCAGTTCACCTGTGGAAGTGATGTTAACAGATTTATACCTGATCTTATCAGCAGATCATCCTGATTTATGGTAATATATGAATTATGCTGGCTTTAAAAAGAAGATGGAGATCCTAGATAAACTCAAGGATTCCATCATTCAAAATATTAATGATAAATCTAAATCAAAAGATGACAAAGAGGATGGATATGTGAAAAAACTTGTCTTGAAGATTATCGATAACTTATAACTGAGCATATCAAATATCCATATTAGATTTGAAGATACAATCAAGAATGAATTTGCATGGGGATTTTCAATCAAAGCTATTGAAACCTTCACTTGCAATTCTGAATGGAAAAAATAATATTTCGATCGAACCAAAGAAGAAAACGTATACTAAATTATTATTTATTTCTTAGAAAAAAGTTCCTCTGCAAAAACTATTAACGTTGGTCAATATTGGAGCCTATTGGAATTAACATGAGAAAAGGTTTTTGAATTCATAGGATAAAGAAGTAATTCTTAGAGAAATGGATGAGATGATCATATCTACCCAAGATCCCAAGTCTCATCCAAAATACGGTTAATTTGTCTTACTGTTAAATGCCTAAGGGAGATTATTTTAGAATACTTCTGGAAAGTTCGATTCTCCAGAGTTTTCCTTATCTATTGAATTGAGTGGCATCGATGTAGCCTTAGAAAATTTATAACTCCAATAAATAATAAGAATGGCTGAACTCTTTTCGTTGTATCAAAATAGATTGAACAAATAAAAGAAGTAGAGATTATAACTATCAAACTAATAAATTGAAGATTAAAAGTTATTATTTATTGGTTTATATGAAAAAATACTCAGGTCTCCTGATTAGAGTATTAAAGCCTTGAGTAAAGACGAAAACGAACTGTTTGAATAATCAGTAAGTAATTTAAGCATAGAAATATTATGTGAGACCGCCAAGGAAATGATTAAGGTGGTTCAGAAAGAATTAGCTATTAAAGAAGCTGAGGAGAAGAAAAAGAAATCAGGAGGATGGTTTAGTTGGGGCAAGAAAAAGGAATCGGATTTGTTGGATCAAAAGGAGAAGGATGAATTAACTTCCTTTATTGATCAATTGGCAGACTTCTAGGACATTAAAGATATAAGAAGACCACCCGATTATGTTTGGCTGTCTGTCATATTTTCTTTGAAAACAGGATCTGTGCATATTCTCAAACAGTTTGATACTAAGAGGGAAGGTATCTAATTGACATATTCTGGATTTGATGGAAGTTTTGAAATGAAGGATAGTGGAATGCTTATGAAAATGGGATTATAATTTATTGGAATCGATATAGTGACAGAACCAATTTAATAGGGAATTGTGTTTTACAGTGAATAAAAGAGAATAGCATTTTTAGAATAAATAAACAACTAGAAGTTTATAGATTTCACATTTGAGACAAATCCATCTCATCATAAAGGAGTTGATAAATACATCAAGTTGGAAACAGGAGCATTGAAATTGATATTCAACCCAATAGTGATGGTCAGAATACAGTAATTTACAGATTTCTAGGTGAGAGATGAAACTCTGAAAAATGCTGCTTGGGATCAAATGGAAATAGCCTAAGATTTGGCTGCCTAATAGATGGCATAATCATAATTGTCTCCATCTATTTTATTTATTGATATGAAAATCAAATCCACAATTGTTTTGGTGCCACTTCCAAATACTCAAGAAAATTGGTTACTCAATATCGGTGATGTTTCCATTATTACACCAAGAATAGATGAATTACATTATGATAATTTTGAGATTTCATTGCAAGATTTCACATTCAAACATTACAATTAGATTGATTAATGTCATCGATCCATTTAATAAGGAATTTTTCTGGAGAATGTGGACGGATCATACAGCATCATTTAGAACATAAGAGTAGTAATAAGAGCTTAAATTTTGAGAGGTAGTTCTAAGCCTCCAAAAGAATTGCCTTCAATTATTATTGATGGAGAATTACCTTAATTAGATGTTTTTATAAATCCAAGTATCTATACTAGAATCTTAAAAATTGGAGAATGCTTTGTTGAACCAATAAGGGAAACCGAAGAAGTCATAAGAAAATAAACTAAATTATCAATAGAAAATGTTTAGACGGAAAGAACTGCATTGATGGAATCAGCAACTAAAGTAGGAAAGATTTGGAAAAGAGGTTAATTATTAACATGGAGTTAATATACAGGAGTGTTGAGTGGTGGATACATTTATTTATTTGCTAAACCTAAAGATCAGTTGCCTGAATTTCATTTCTGGATTAGAAATAGTGATTTCATTGATGTTAGTGAATAGGAAGTAGGAATGAATAATGCTTTCTACATTAAGAATAAGTATGGGGATACCCTTGTTGCATTTGATAAACCAAAGATGGCCAATGATTGGAAGGAGGCAATTGAACTCTTAAGGACTATGCCTAGAGTTGAGAAAGAAAAAGAGAATGATGAAGTAGCAAAAGTATAAAGTGAGAAAACCTAAGAAAGTAGACCAATGAATTTTAAATTTGTATTAAAGGGTTTTGGGGCACACTTGCAAGATGAGAAATAATAAGATTGGTTTAATGTTGTGATCAGTGGATTGAATGCTGGTGCTAATCTATTTGATGGATCCATAAATCTTGATTTGAAATTAAGAGACTTGTATGTCACTGATAGTGTGTAGAAGTACATGAACCCATTGCTTAAGTACATAGTTAAATCTGATCCTGATCCAGAATCTAACGAATTAATTAACATTAATGTGCAATAGATTAGTAATAAGGACAAACGATATAATAAGAAGAACCTGATTATAGGTGTAACATTTGGATCATTGTCAGTTATTGCCAAACCTCTAGTTGTAGCTAAGTTATTAGTCTTTATAACTCCTACTGATAATTAGGCAGAGGATATGCAGACTTATTAAGGAAAAGACGTTGAGAAATAGTAATAGGACTAAGCTAAAAAAGAATTGGAAAATAATTCACAACATTAGAATGTGAATTTCGATAACATGCAGGATATTATCCTCATGGATGTCAGTGTAAAAATTAGGAGTATTAATGCTATCTTGGTTCATAGATTCACAACTCTACCATTGGCAGAGGCTAAAATTGAAAATACTGAAATTGGGTTAATCAAGTATGTAGATGAAATGTAATTGAATGGATCTCTTGGTAATCTGCAATTGTTTGATCTTACAAATTATCCAAATACTTTAAGCAAAGAGTCTGAATACACTCTGATTAATCCGAAATAAATGATTGGAGTTAAGCATCAACAACAGTCCTTATTGAAGGTTAAATTAAATTTATTTAGTGAAGGATCCAAAAAGATTATCAACAATGTTAATATAATAATCAATGTAGATATGAGTTAATTAATCATTCACGTAATGATGTAACCCGTATTAAGATTGCTCGATTACACTTTATAACAACTATTGTTTGCCTTATCCAATCCAAAGTAAACCATAAATCCAATTGTAAAACAGAAGGAAGTAGAACTTGATCAAGAAATTGATTAATATCATTAAACTAGAGCTTAAACAAAAAAAGCATAGACAATTTTATTGTCAGAAGATGAAACGGCTTATTTGAATAAGCAATTGTAAAATCCACCTGCAATGCAACTAAATGTAGTCATTAATAATCCTCAAGTTATTTTAAAACCAAATCAGGAAAGTAATGCTGCAATGGTAATCGATCTTGGCACAATACTTGTATCAAATTAAAGAAGGAAGGTCACAAACAGAATTGTAACAAAAGACTAACAATTTCCTGTATGGGTTGATGTGTTTATATTGAATATGAAAGACATATAATTATATCAATAGAATGGATAAAATAAAAGGGAATTTAGTTTGCCTTTTGATTTCAATATTAGTGTTGAGATTTTTGGAATGTTATAACAATATTAACTATTCTATCCAAAAATAAAATTTGATGAGAAATTAATTATCAATTGCTTCATTGCCCCAATGATTTTGTAAATGACACATTCAGATTATATGTTTTTGATGAAATGTTTATTTCACAACATCGCTTATGATGATGGATTTGATAATATGATCAGAAACAATCACCCCTAATATTTCCAAGCTTTCTTTGAATAACAGAAGCAGTAAGAGATTAAACTCAAGGAGATGCTCCTAACTAAAAATAGTGATGCCTAACTATCATTCTAATTGGATTTAGAGAATTTTAGCATATTTCTATTAAAGGATATCCAACCTAAACCCACGCCCTTTCTGAGAATGATGCTCATAATGATGAGGGTTTCATTTTAGAAGTGTAATAATGGATCTGCCATAGTGGACCTTAAGATAAGAGATTTGGAAGGCTCCAATTTTGTTTTGGAGAAAACTGGATTATTTAATGAGTTGCCTTTTATTGGTAGTATGAATATTCAATAGACATATTCTTATGAACAAGTTACTAATTTAAATGGATTGGTAAGAGGTAGATAAGGGACCTTGAGTAATGCAAATTAGATTTTGAATATGGCATCACGCGGATTGTTAAGTTAAGGACAATAAAGACAATTGATATTCAAGTTCGAAGATGCCTATCAACAGATTGAAGATAAACCACAATATAAATTAGAATTTAACCTTTAAATGAAAATAACTGGTGATA